GTCATATCGCGCGACGCGTTAAATTGCAGCAGTATATTGCCAGAATTTGTGCATTGCGAATCCACCTACTCTATCTTCAAAAAATACAGACTATAACTGCCGTGTTTTATTATATATTTTATAAACGTATAGAAGTGATGACCCTTAATATTAATGGAGCTTTTACACTGGGTCGACAGATCGCCTCCGCTTACTCGCCGAAGACAGCAACCTACCCAGTCTAGATATACACTGAGTCGTAGAACATCATGCGCGTGCTGGGGGCTGGGGAATACCCACCTACCTGATCCGATTGGTTGTGTCTCTAAGCGTAAATTTGTATTTATAGTGACGCGATGTCGACTCAGAGTTACCAGGGCGTCGACAACGCCGCCTTCGTTAACTGAATTTGCTTATCGAATGGGTGGCGATCGACTCGATCTAAACAGCGAGTCGACTGCATTTCTTTCGGCAAGGCGAAGTAGTCTGCTGAAGACGGCGTTCGCATCTGTGTAAACACTCCTGAAAGCGCGCGGGTGGCACGTTCTGTTGGTTGTAATGTTGTAAGGAGAGTGTAGTAGCCTCCGCAGCCTCCCTACTCTTGCTTAGTAAGTTTAAAGTTCAAAATTCAAAAGGGTAAAGAAATAGTGGTAATAAATTCAGTTTTACAAATATTATTCCTGTTTTATTAATATTTGTGATCTTTAAAATGTTTATCGTACAAGATATTTTTGGTAACTGGCAAACGGTTCAGAAATTTAACGAGAAGACGTGTTCGCTGCCGCGATCGGGCAGGGAGTCACGATGGAACGAAACAAAATCGGAATGGTGAGACCACAGACCACATAAATACTCGAGACAAAGGAATTAAAGAATGATTCAAAATTTAGGAATGAGTGGCCAGGAACTGGAGAAATAGCCGATAAAAAGGTGGGATGACAAAGCGATAAGGAGGTCACAACGTCATACGCCATAATAAACACGACTAGAGAACGATATTTTTATTCCTGTTGAACAACAAATATACTCATTAAAGAACACCGAGTTATCGGTATTGTTTGTATTTTGCGAAAAGAAAAAGCGTAAAACAAAGGGTCCTGCATTTGTACGTAAACTAAAGTTTTACGGGGGCTTATGCCGATCAGTGATCTTGTATTATATTTCGTCGCTTCATTTTCGATATAATATTTAACCAGGTACTTTCCTTAACTTGCTAGGCAACACCGCACGGAGTTTAGAGAAATAAAAATGTTTGACGTTGACACTCCCTACCAGGCATCAACAGCCATTTTCTATCCTCATTCCTTTTAGAGTGGGAAGCAAAACTTATTTGAGAGTTTCAGAATCTTTACTTCTGAGATGACGATGTCAAGTGAGGGAGGGTGTTGATTATATCTTCGAATGAAGCGACTCACATAATAGTGATCGAACTTCACTTCAAGAAGTTCGTTTGATCATCTATTATATTTCGTCGCTTCATTCTCGATATAACATTTAACCAGGTAGAGTTTTAGAGTATTCAGTTTTGCTTCTAGTTGATTTTATGTAAATTAAAAACCAGAGGCTTAATCGATAAGATATATTTTTATTAAAAATATATAAAGATGTGAACATATAACGGTTTTTCTCCTTGCCTAGCAAGTTAAGGAAACTACTTGGTTAAATATTATATATTCGAATGAAGCGACTCACATAATGGTGATCGAACTTCACTTCAAGAAGTTCGTTTGATCATCTAATATAAATAAAACGAGTTGATTTAAAATGACGAACTGTAGTGTTATTTTGACAACCTCGGTGGCACAATGGTTTATTATGTCCTGGGTTCGATACCGATGGGACTAATTTTAGAAATAAACTTTTCTAAATTGGTTCTGGTCTGGGTGTTCTGGGTAAAGCCGGGAATTTCGTTAGTTGTCTGGCAAATTATTGTTGTTTTTATTTTCTCAGCCTGTTGGCTGGTTTTAACTTCGTTTATAGACCGAAATCAAATAATAATCGTAAGATCGTGTAGGTACCAAGGAAGACCTATTCTGAGAAGTGATCTTGTAATAATTAATATTGGAAGTTTGTTGATTCACAGATAACTTATCGATGACTTTTTAGAATAGAGGCCTAACCTCCTCCTCCTCCTCTTAAAACCTCAAAACGTGTCTGCCGCGCAAAGTTGAGGAATCGTCGACCATCCCAATATTGTCATGTGATTATTCCAACCAATGAAAAGCTTGGAATTCCAATCACAAAACATGTAGCATTTTCTCAATAAATCTCAGTAATAAGTCCAAAAGAGACCAACTTTGGATTCTTCTTCTTCATGTGCATCTTCTGATGAAAGACAGCGATCATAATGACAATCTGTTCCTTGGACACTGTAGCTCTGAATAATGATTGGGTGCTCCTATTGAACCACTGGTGTAAATTTCTGAGCCAAGATATTCTCCTTCTAGGAAGAAGGAGAATATCCTTTCACCGAACACTTTCTAAACTTTAGATTAAACTTGAAAAGCAGCGATATATTATTATAAAATTGACATTAGATAACTAGTATAGATGGATTTTTTTGAATACCAGATACTGCGGTCAACTTTGGGGTCATGGGATGGACGAGTGTACGAGCGACTGATGGAGGAAGCCCTAAAGAGCCCATTAAACGCGCAGCCCGTCAACGACACTTTCCACAAGTACCTCAAGCCGTTCATGCAGGGGAAACTATAGAACAATAACGGAACATAACTACGTAGTACATACAATATGCGTGAAAACACTCACTAGTTTGTGATAATTACAAAAGTAACTGCTGAAATTTTTTGTAAATTAATTGCTTCCACTATCTTAAGCTGGGTATTGCAGAGTATTTTAATCAGAATTTATTGATTACGGCGCGTTCGAAATTATCAAAATATTTATTTGTTTTGTCATATGTATGTTCTATCCCAGTGCTTGGTTAAAGACGTCCCCTTCTTTTTCCATTGATTCCGGTTTCGGGCAACATCAAGATCTATGATAATTATCCATGATCATTCATAGTTCTGCCGATTAAATGTTTGATCAAACATTGATAAACAAACAAACAGTGATAAAACTAAATAATCAAACGACAATAACATTACCAAATTCGAAATTATCAAGATATTTATTTGTTTCGATAATTATTATTAAAAGCCTGTTCTATCCTCTTTTTATTAACTGCCTCCGTGGCCGAACGGTTACCATACCGGACTGCCACGCAGAGGTCCCAGGTCCGATTCCCGGGCCGGGAGAAATATTTGTATGGCCTAAATTTATTTCTCTCGTGACTTTGGGTGTAATTTGTGGTTGTCTATGTGTATGTCCATGGCACCCGCGACACAGGGTTTCCCTAGTGCGGGGCTATGTTGAGTGTGAGCGTTATTATTATTATTATCCCACTGCTGGGCAAAGGCCTCCTTTCTTTTTTCCATTGATTCTGGTTTCGGGTAACATCAGTATTTCTGATTATTATCATGATAATTATCTATGATGATCATTCATAGTTTTGCCGGTTACATTTTTGATCAAACATTACAAATAAATAGTGAGAAAACTAAACATTCAAACGACAAACGAAACAGTTTGGTTTGCGACTTTTTTTAGATTGACATTTGACACGTCTGTACATGTCTCTAATACAAACACATGGCATGACGTTCCTCTAACAATTTGTTGTTCCAATTAATTAATAATCAAGGTATATTTATAAAGACAATTATCGGGATAATTATCACGTCTGCTTTCAGGTTTCAAAACCCTGAAAGCAGGTATTTTATAATTATTTTCATAGGAAAGTGTACAAACTATTTTAATTTTAGACATAAGTGACTATTCTGTAAAGGACCGGAACAAATATTCAAATAAAGAAAATGAGGGTAACGGGAATAAAGACGAGTGACTTTCATTCGATTTTGTCGAGTTACATCATCATCAACCCATTATTATGTTTCAGTACTGGGCACCGGTATTTTATAAGGAACGGGTTTAGGCGTATTATAATAAGAGAAGTATGGTAACTCCAAACAAACTAAGCAGCGCGGATTGTATGTGTGCACGCCCGTCGCGCGCCGTGTATGCATGCACACATTTGCATAGTCTCGCGGTGCACTTGCGTTCCATAGCGCGGATCATCTGAATGAATATTCTCGGAGTAGTGTTCACTACCTAATTTCCGTGGCAATTTTTATTATTTAAGTATTAAATTATTTATCATGCAATATTATTTAATATTCGAGTATTTTAACGTGAAATGTCATTTAATAATTACACGATAATATTCTTGAATATTTAAATAATACAAATTGCCACGGAAATTAGGTGGTGAACATTAGCCCAAGAATGACCGTGAAGCGATCACTCGGTATTAAAACAATGACATCAAATAGCAGACGTGTTAATTGTTGTGTTTGTGGTATTTTGAACAAGAGTGCCTCAAATTCAAAATTATCCAGCATTTTATTTCTATTTCATAATCGTACTCCATAATCAAGAAACCAATCCGTGATGCTAGTATAAATATATCAATATAAAAAGTACCTACCGCATTTACAAAAGGTTATTTCAATACAGCACGAGTGTTGTGATGAACACCTTTATTTGTTCAAATTATTGTTATAACCATAGGTACAACCAGAAATCGTGTGCAAAAATTATTTACAACTGAAGGTTTGTTGTAAATTGAGTTTTGTTCAAATTGTAATGATATTATTACAGAATGTTTATAGTTTTCTGATCTAGACGACTCGTTTTGTAATTCTATTGAGTTGAGTCACTTGAAAACCTTCGTAAAAATGAAAGAAAGGACAATAAGAAAATTTTATTCAGTACTATTCATTTTAAATTGTACTCACAAAATAAAAAATAAATTAAAATTAAAATTAAGATACTGAATGGGTACCACTCAGCATATGCCGTGGCTGAGAACAGCCAAATCGGAGCGCAGCTGTCACCGTAATGATTTGGCTGAATAGTTTTCAACAAATTAAATGACATTTCGTCTCTATTTCTGGTTATATACTCGATGTTCTATGGTTTAGGGCATAGTCTACCATTGTCCTATTGCAGGTTGGGGACTTCACACACGTTTTCCGAGAATTTTGAACCTACTTCGACAAACAAGTTTCATTACGACATTTACCTTGATATGAGATTGGTGGATATTTCCAGGATTCACTCGGAGCGTTTCGTTTCCACATTTATATGACGAGCGGCTAGGGAGTGGAATGCCCTGCCTGCGGACTTGTTCCCCGAACGCTATAGCTTGTATCTTTTCAAGGCGAGAGTTAATAGGTATTATTTAAGTGTGCATGCCACATCGCCATTTTCCATCAGGTGCGATGAAGGTCAAATGTGTACTTATTTTATTAAAAAAACCAAATACTAAACGTTCATTTGTGTACGTAACTAAGAAATTAATTCATTGGTACGTGCCGCCAAATATTTGAACCAGCGTCCTGATTTTGATTCAAATAGGAGACGATCCGATCGGGTAGTCTCGAAAGCAGATGGGTTACTGAGCGAGAAGATGAACCTGATTCCTACTATGTCTTTCTAATTTATGAGAAATGTCAAAATTTCCGATCGGCCAGTTGTGAATCGCAATTACGCACCTCCACTCGGAAGACATGCAGTTTCAGATCGGGAGAGCCAATCAAAATCAAGCTGCTGTGTTGTTGCGAATATCGGCATCCTCATCAGCATCTGCATTCATCGATGCTGATATTCATTGCGGATGTTCGAGTCGTGAAATGACCTAAGAGGCACGCTGGAATAATTTACAAACCTTCCAGAAACAGCAGTTCAGCTGTTATTTTTAATATATAACTTTGATGAAATTCCACCACAAATAACCTAGGTAAATCGGTTGATTTATTATGAAGATTGATTGATTCACAAAATCATTGTAATAATATTTTATTACGATACCAAAGAAATTAAAAAGCTTTTTCATGTAGATAGATTCAGTAAGGTACATTTTACGCATTTTTTTAAATACATAAAATCTGCATCCGCGTCAGCATCCGCTGATGTTAAGGTCAAAAAATTAGCAGCCGCATCTGTATCCGCTGATGTGTAAAAATCCTGCATCAGCGACAACCCTGATTCGAACCGTGTGTCGACCTCTCAATCAACAAATGCGCATACGTGACCTTGAATGCCCATATAATTTACTCTACGAGAACTTTACAATACATATTTACAGATCGACTGCATACTACATATAATATTTTACATGAGATATGAGAGTACACTCCCATACATATTACTTCTTTGTTAAGGAAAAGGCGTCTGATATGTATTTATTTTTACAAGGTTTGACAACAATTCTCATTGGTCCATTCATTTAGTTTATCAGTGTTAGTGGCTCCGTGTTGACGTCGCGTCTCTACTGCTTGTTAACATTTTAGTACAAGATGTGAAATGTGACCAAAATGTAGAGAAGACCCCGTGTAATAAACATTGTGCATTACTTAATGCGCACAATAAAATTGTCTAATCGCATCGTAAAATTTTCCATGAACGTAAGTCAATTTGTTTTATTATGACAGTCGCTGTGTGAGAGTAACAAACTTTATTTTGAATTTTCATGGTAGTCTATGATGAGAAGGGAAAGAGTTGCGGGGTACGGGAGGTATGATTCAACAACATGTTATTATTTTGCTATCTGCAAAAGATAAGTTTGTTAGGTCGCTTGATGTTGATACTATTGTAGTTAATAGAATTTTCGCTAGATGGCTGTATTTTAATTGTTAGTCAGACGCAGTAGAGCGCTAATTTTCAAACCAAGATTCAATGCTCATTAGTTACAACAATGCGTAATTAGAATATATAAGATTTTTCAATGACCTTTTCCAGATGTTTTTGTCGTTTTTAGAATACCGACAGACGTCCTTGTAAGTACAACATTACATTATTATTTCCGATAATTAGCGGGTAGCAATTTCGGGATTTAGAGATGGTTAGGTTATTATAATCTCGATTTTAACATAGACAAAGGTCAAAGATCATGGCCCACCAAAGTATAAAAACCATATCTACAACGTACAGAATTGACATAATAAATGGCTAGATTTATAGTCAATGTACTTTACAACGGTATGTGTCGCTTAACTGTGGGTACCGAGGAATAATAATAATAATAGTAATAAATTTATTTCTCTCCAGAAATTTTGGTTACAATTTTTGGCACAGAAACAGATCTTATTTTCTAAAGTGAAAAAATTTGTAGGAGACTGGTAGTAAGGTGTTTGTTTCATATTTTATTTTTCCACATCTACGTTTCTGTATTGAAAAATGTATTTTTATATCACAATGTAGGTATGTTAGAGCAAAACATTAGTGTGTTTTGTAGGCATTGTTAATCACCCAGAGAAAGTTATCGGTCTTATTTCAACTACAACAGACCGCGCAAGGTTCGCCCAAGACTATGATGATATTAATTTTGACGAAGTCTGGCAAAAACCTAATTAGGGTTTACACATAATAAAAAATATGTTATATACATTGACTTACAATTATATGGACGTCGGGTCCGCGCTAAAAAGTGTCCGAACTTATAGGGTGTTAAAATCGTATACAGAGCGTCACTCACGCTTTAGTCTTCGTTTGTTCGACTGACAGCGAAGCAAGCAAAATTAGACAGTACTGCTATGACATTACAATTTAAATTCAACGTTTTAGCTTTTTCATATTCCTTTACATGTCACTACGTTTAAATAGGTTGACTTGGGACATTTTTTTCGTGGTTTTTGTATTAGACCCGTCGTCCATTTATTTGTAAGTCAATGGTTATATATCAAATTTTTATTGCCCTCAAGATTTTTTTTACATAAAATAAGAAGTGGTTTATTACTGTATAATAAAACTAATATGGGTCTTGTACGCAAACGTCCATTAACCTGATCAGAGTATGAGCCATCTTTCCTAATAGAAAAGTACGTTCGGTGCAAAGTCTCACGCAACAGATAAAAATAAATCCTTGTTATCTTCGTGTGAACTTTGATCTGTAATACGTAAAATACATGATACTTATAATAATGCGATGTATTTGCATTGCCATTTCATTGTCAGATAACAACGCGTTTTAGCTGTAGATAAGATTCTTGTACGTACTCAAAAACAAAATGCAAAGGACATTTCAATTGATATATAATCGAATAAATTTATTTGCCAAAATTATACGGATGTTAAGTAAAATTACATAGAATCCAAGCTATTAAAGAGAGGTGTAGAAATATTAATGGAATTTCACATTTGGTCTCCACGATAAATTGCATTCCAAATTAACAGTAGGTATGAATTAGTACTTGTAAATTCTATATAATTCTTATTTCAACAGAAGCAACGAATCAATTTTGTCAATTCTAAAATAATTGTAGATCCTTATAACAATTTAAATTCATTTCGTAAATTATTTAAAACTCGTAGACACATATTAAAGCTGCTTTTTTTAAAGGTACTAACGTCCACTTGCACTAATCTTAAGTACGTCTTAAGCCAATACAATGTATTAAGGGTCGTATTCTAGAACTCTACTCAATGCTCAAGTCAGGATTTGAGCAGACTTGAGTATGATTTCAAGCACTGGAAATACGACCCTAATGGCAAGGACTTGAGTATGATTTTCAGTGCTCACTGCAATACTCAAGTTCTGACTTGAGTATTGAGCAGAGTTCTGGAATACGACTCTTGGGGCCGTATTCCAGAACTCTACTCAATGCTCAAGTCAGGATCTGAGTATGATTTCAAGCACTGGAAATACGACCCTAATGGCAGGGACTTGAGTATTGCCTTGCAAGCATTGACTTAAGACATACTTAAGTGGACATTAGTGACGGGACGAACAATTCGTGCTCCTGGTGGTAAGCGACACGCCTGCCCATAACAGTTGCAGTGCCACTCAGAGCTTTAAATCGCAAGACATGAAACGCACTGCCACTGCGCCTGTCACTCTGAAACATAAGTTGACAAGTCCCAGGTGTCTTTAGTTATTCTTATAAATTACTGTATGATAACTTTAGTATAAAAGATTCACGTGTATAACTATGATCTAGATTAACGTGATTGTTTCTAAAATTTCATTATGGCGTTCATAACACTTAACTGCCTAAAGGTTACCATGACAGACTGCCACGCAGAGGTCCCAGGTTCGATCCCCGGGCCGGGAGAAATTTTTGTATGGCCTACATGTATTTCTCTCGTAAGTTTGTGTGTAATTGGTGTTGTCTATGTGTTTGTCCATGGCACACAGGGATTCCCTAGTTGGGCTATGTTGATTGTGTGCGTTATTGTTATAACAAACATAACAAACCAACAGTTCTTTAACAAACATTATAATTATATTATTTACAATATTAATATGTGAATTGATAATTTATAACAATAACAGCGAAGTTTCGTCGTGATTATGATGACAGTAAACAGATGTCGTACAATGTTCTTCTTATCGTAACAGTGGCATGTTACACTATTGTGGCCCAGAAGATATTGTCGCTACCGTCACTAGTAGAAGCCGCCACGCTGAAGTGTGGGATATATTTTCCACCGTGATGAAAGGATTTGGCTATTGGCGTAATTTGCTCGCTGATTGTTGCTCAAGATGTATCAGACGTACAGAGGACATTGCCAGTACGCCATTGCGAGGAGGTTCTTTTCGTGCACTCCACGAAATTGTTTGTACAACAAAGTGTTACACTTATCAAACGTTTCTAGGGATCAAGCACGTTCTTGAAAGTCAGGTTTTTTAAATGACTTTTTTTTTAACACCAACGGTTTTTTGGTCAATTTCATAATTTTAAAAAACAAACAAATAAGTAATTGCGTACATTTATATTTATAGGTACGTTCATTTAATTTTAATAGGGTAATCACAAATTAAAAAAATACCTTGATCCTTACACACTTTCTTTTTTTTATAATACTAAGTGAGGCCTGTCCGTAACAGTTGCAGTGCCACTCAGAGCTTTAAATCGCAAAGATCTGAGGAGCATTGCCACTGCGCCCGTCACCCTGAGACATTAGTTGACAAGTCCCATGTGCCTGTAATTTCACCAGCACCCTTGCCCTTCTAAACCGGAACGCAGTAATGCAACATTACTGATTGGCGGCAGAAATAGATAAGGTAGCAGTACTTCCCTGGACGAAATCTTTCACAAGGATCTCCACTGGTGCTATATGTGTACGTGCATACATAAATTTGTTTTAGTTAGGTACTACGATGATTGTAATTACAGCTAAATATATATAAATAAAATAATAAATAAATAAAAGTACGAAGTTAAAGCGAATTTTCCAGTTAATCAAAGATTATCGTATGCAATAAGTCCGTAAAGAGCATTGACTTACAATTATATGGACGTCGGGTCCGCGCTAAAAAGTGTCCGAACTTATAGGGCGTTAAAATCGTATACAGAGCGTCATTCACGCTTTAGTCTTCGTTTGTTCGACTGACAGCGAAGCAAGTAAAATTAGACAGTACTGCGATGATATTACAATTTAAATTCAACGTTTTAGCTTTTTCATATTCCTTTACATGTCACTACGTTTAAATAGGTTGACTTGGGACATTTTTTTCGTGGTTTTTGTATTAGACCCGTCTATTTATTTGTAACTCAATGGTAAAGAGAGAGTAAATTTGCTTTTCTAGACAAGTTCGAGTACTTGGGAACCACCGCCTTGTATAACGCAGTTGCATTTCCGTCAGACCGTTGCGAAAAGTGAAAGTCCAGGCGATTAACGTCGTCTCTACAACCCAGTATTCACTGTAACTGGTATATTGCGATATTTAATAGTTTTTCTAATGAAATTCGAGAATGAAATTTTTATTATTTGAATATTCTAGAATATTATTATGAGTATTATTTAATATTCGAGTGTAGTATAATATTGTGAAATATTATTTAATATTTCACAATAATATACTCGAATATATAAAAATATTAAAAAATAACTTAGCTAGTTTAACATGGTGTACTGCCATGTTAAAATTTGTCTTTTTAATTTAATCATTAAATACGGTTTTTTTTAATATCATTATCCATAGCTGCAGCAAAAATAAAATAAATAATAAGCTGTCACATGTGCCTGTATTTCACCAGCACCCTTACCGTTCAATACCGAAACAGCAATGCTCACAACATTGCTTGGCGGCAGAAATAGGTAACGTGGCAGTACTTCCCTGGACGAACACTATCGCATTGCTACTAATAGGTACTCGTATATTAGACTAAAGAACAGGTAAAAATAGCTGCTAGTTATTAATAAGTGATTACCATCGAAACAATAACACGGACTGCAAATACCTAATGAGATATGGTAACGTCAATGTAGACATCAGTCAAGATAACCGATATTATAAAAAATACAATATCCGTAATACTCAACGATTAAAATTCGTACTTCATAGATTTAATCGGTGCTCGTAAGGATTGTAGACTGGTTGGATTTTGGCGTGAAAAAAATATATAAATAAAAATGGCCAGTGGGAAGATAAATGAGGACTTATTGCGAGAGAGGAAGAAGTGCATATTCAATGTGCAGGAACTGATTAACATTGTTGATGGTGGCGAGAAGATGACAAAGATGCGAAAGGAAGTTGGTAAGTTATCATCCTTGACTATAACATTATACTATTTTTTCAAATCTAAATCGTGAATGATTAATTATTTTTAAACAAATTATTATACGCGAATCGAGTTTTAGGCATTCGCGATTGTTACAAATTGGAAATATTTTTTTTCGAGTTTTTTTCGTGATGTATCACGTAAATTTGTTTTTTTTTTTAATAAACCGACGTTTCGGGTCATTTAAAGGTTCCAGCCAGCCGTTACTATGGGATTTTTGAAAAAAGAAAACTATACGCGATTTAGATGCGAAAAAATAGTTTCATTTTCTATAAGAACTCTATGCATAAAATGGTATTTATGGTCAAATAATAGTTTTATAGAGTAGGCGTGAACATTTTATAATGTTAACATGTATAAAGATTTACTAGCTGCGACTGAATATTGTTTCTGCACGTCGTATGCACGTAATAAAAACGCCCTGTGTATAGGTTCTTATTGCTCGATCCACTTATTGTATGGTTCACAGTCGGAGAATACCGTCTCTTCCATTAAAAAAAAATATAGAAAAGAACAGTCTAAAATATGTAGATATCCGAAATAATAATTTTTAAAAGATTACTCAAACACAACATTACGAGTATTAAAACAAGTTATTTTGAACTAATTAGTACCATAAGTTTTCATCATCGTTAGCCCTTTTATACGTCGTCCCATATCTCGGGGGAGGGTTTAGGCCAGTCTGTCACGCTGGCCTTTGCTTGATACGCGATAGGTCAAACCATTTAGGCTACCACGGAGTCTGTTGTTTATTTTTTCACAACTTTTGTGAATATTTATATATTAAAATATTGTTAATTGTGTAACACTAGGTATATAACATATTCAAATTATAATTTTAGCAGGAAATGCGATCTTATCATTTAAATCTATATACTCAAACGTGCACATAGGTGGTACACCTATTGGTCAATTTTTTTAAGTAGAGATCGTATCTAAATGTATAATAAATTAGGTCCGTATTTGATATTATGGGTGGAACACGGATAATTATAATAATAAATCTTTTATTGATAGCAGTTGTGGAAGATAAAGAATGTAAGATTACCTATTATTAAAACACATAAGAAAAGAGGGCCATATATTACTAAATTTTAGCTAACGGATTCTTCGATACTATATTATAAAACTATTTTTTCGGATCTTAATACAATTAAAATAATTTATTGTTCTTTTTCACTTTAACAATAGATTTTATAATCTCAGGAACACCGTATAATTAAATTGTGAGGCGGAAGATTGGTGGCTTAATTAGGTTGGACCAATACCATTATAGGTTACCAAGTATTCGCCACCGAATTCCAATGATACTGTTATGATGTATTGACTATAGTAAGACGTTGGCATGATGCCATTGAAAATACCTGCTATTTATTGTTTTGAGGACATTTACTTTCAATAGAAAAGTTAACTTTGCTTAAAAAATCGCCTATATTTGCTTTTTACAAGTCCCATGGTCACACTATTGACTGACAGTCAGCCGTCACAATGGGACCAGTAAAGGACCCGAAACGTTGGTTTGTTTGAAAAAACAAATATATGCGATTTCATCCGAAACAATTTTTAGCGATTCAAATATTCACAAAAAATATTATTATATTACCAGGTGAATATAATCTGTCGATGTATTAAAAGTTTCTACTTATAACACTCGTATATCATATTATTTATTTGTTTAAACTTTTTGTACAATACACTATAGTTCAAATGGCGGAGTTAACCAGGCATTCTTTAGTAGTAAACCATTGGGGCAAACAGAAAAAATAATAGGTTGGTGGTACACTTAAAAAAACATAACAATGTAGCTTGGAACAAGTTTTAAAGACGTTACTTTTAGAACATGGTACATAGGCGAAAGTCCTGGACAATCTAAAAGGAGTGTTGAACTGCGTCAATAACTGAGGGTAACTCAATGAACTGTTTTCAAGGAAGATTAAGTCTTTCTACGGTCACCCCCATATATTTTTATTATAGTGCCCCTTCCTGTCAACGTTTCGGTTATACGGAAAGAGCACCTATGCAAGCAAGCCTGCACAGGGACCTTATCAGTTCAAGTCCTGATCCCGTATCAGCCCGTTGGCATGTTTGTCATGGACCGTGGTCATGGACTTCTTCCGGTGTTCAGAAGTAGTGATGGAACGAAAGTGTCATAACGGAAACAGAAACAGGAACCGATGTTAAAAGTAAATCTTAGCGAAAACGGAAGCGGAAGCGGAAAAGTAAATACTCTAAAGATCTCAACGAAATAGTTCTAAACAGGGTTTTTTGTTTTTAGTTTCATAATTGCACTGAATACAACACAAAATTGCTAAGACCTACGCAAATTGCAAAGTCCAAATAACGTACTGAATTCAAGTACAGGTTGTGTCAGTGTACTAATTATTTTGAATATCTGTACTAGACTATTATAACCTCTGTCATAAAAGATGAATTTTGAGTTTTTAAATGGGAGAGGTGGTATTCCCCGGCAAGGTATATACATAAAAAAAGGCGACACTAATAGAGTTCTTTATTGGACAATATCATAGTCGATGCCGAGAAAAAAATGAATAGAATATCGATGTTATTATACATTATTTATTATTACCTTGATTTATATTCAGGGCCTGTATAGTCTTTGACCACAGGGATCTATTGTTAAATAACTGTTAATTATAACGCGGTGTCAGGGCCAAAAGAATTAAACAATTGCAGGATTTTCATTAGCTTCGATTGCTTTACCTCTCTGTATAAATGTGAATCGATAACACGACGTTAAATTTTGTAGAAACCATCGTATTCAACACGAAAGAACTTTGGGATGATGTCCCTGAAGAATACCTCAGTCACAAGGAAAGATACGAGCTTGCTGTCAAGAAGGCTTGCATTCTCTATGAGATACTCAAAGACCATATTTTGGAGCATTCTGGATTTGAGGACTTCGCGTAAGTTACATGAACGAGGAAAGGTTTAATTAACTGGGAGAGGTATATGGCATCGAGTATATAACCAGAAATAGAGACGAAATAATCCATCCTTTGCAACCCATGAGGCAAATAAGCCTTATATCACTTTTAAATATCAACTCTCATTTGCGCTGAAATCACAAATTAGAAAGCTGAAATAGTACAGCGCCAACAACTGACCTGTGAGCACGTCTCCGTATACTCTAAAAATATTCTGTATTTATTGTAATAAAGATAATATCTCCAATAAAGGGGGCCTATTTCATTCGGTGGTGTGGGATAAACAGCAAAACATCTGATTACAAAATAAACGAATCACATTTCATCGGTAATTAAATATTAAATATGTATTTTTTTAGTTATAGGCCATTATTGCAAAGCTCAAGTTAAACTGGTCGATTTGAAGTGAAACAATTGATAGGAGTCGTCGAATTCGAGCTGGCCAATCGGAGCGCAGTTCTCACCGTAATGATTTGGCAGAATAGTTTACAAATTAAATGACATTTCGTCTTTATTTCTATTTATGTACTCGATGGTATATGGTAACCCAACATCTAAATTATCAGTGTTAGCTAGTGTGCTGATACTTTCGTTTATTTGTATCTGCGACTTCATAAGAAATGTAATGTATATCTACTGGTTTTTTATAATACCAAGTGACGGGACGAACAAGTCGTGGGCTTGGTGGTAAGCGACACGCCTGTCCATAACAGTTGCAGTGCCAATGAGAGCTTTAAACCGCAACGATCGGAGGGACACTGCCACTACGCCCGTCACCCAGAGACATAAGTTGACAAGTCCCTATTTGCCTGTAATTTCACCAGCACCCCTACCCTTCAAAACCGGAACGAAGTAATGCTCACATTACTGCTTGGCGGCAGAAATAGGTAAGGTGGCAGTACCTTCCCGGATGAAGTCTTTTACAAGGAGCTGTACTGCCACTAAATATAGACTAGATGACGAGTGGCCAGTGGAGTTTTGCCAGTACACTGCCACTGGCCTCGCCGAGTAAACGACAACTTTTGTTCCATGATTTTTGACAAAGCATAATAAATTTATCAAAAATAAACTTTTAAGTTTTTGAAGTACTCTCGGAATTGAACCGATTGGGTAGTCTCGAAATCAGATGGGTTTCTGAGCGAGAAGATGAACCTGATTCCTATTATATCTTTCTAATTTGTGAGTTAAATTAACTATTGTTCCGATTAGAAATGTCAAAGTTTCCGATCGGCCAGTTGTGAATAGCAATTATGCGGCTCGACTCGGAAAAGACTCAGTTTCCGATCGGGTGAAGCAATCAAAATCAAGCTGCTGACACTTTTTAGATCTGTATTTGATTATAAGTTGTTTAGCAATTCCTACTAGTACCCTCCCTATTTTCCAGATAGGTACCGGAGCTGTAGGCACACTCATTTCCCGTTGTGCATTGCACAACTAGCGGTTGCGGTTGTGAACAAGTAAAAATCCTGCTTTTTAAAGCGTACCGCTAGGTTTTCTACTCGTGTAGCCTTTGGACCGACTATTCGCTTAAGTCCATCTGCGCCCTATGAGTGCAGTACAACAATGGTTTTCGGATGTTGTTGGGGCTGCCACGTTTCTGCAGTTCGTCAGGCATGTTTGCGCTGACGCATACGGGTGCTTTTATGCCATTATGCGTAAAAAGTCAGCCTCATTGCTCTGCAGGTTTCATACCAGCTCTAACTCTATACTGGAAACCATTGTCAGTAGATGTAATTCGCCTTCTATGCGGCAGCTTTTTTCGCCTCGAGTATGAAGCATAATTTGTATTTTAATTTTTTTATTTAGTACTACTAACATAGTTTTTGCGATCAACATTGTTTACTAACAAAACTAGACTATTTGTCGTCTGAAAAATCAACAAATTCAGGTCCGTTCGTTTCCCCATTTTCAACTCACGACTTGTTTCCAGACCCTCAAATACGTACAGAGTACTAAGCAGTACAATCAAGGATATTACACCACTCATGTTGCACATGGGCATGTTTGTGCCCACTATCCTTGGACAGGCATCACCTGAACAGCTAGCTAAATGGCTACCTTTGGCATTGAATTTGCATTATATTGGAACTTATGCTCAAGTAAGAATCCCCTTCATTTTGTTCATAATATTTTATTGCTGCTTCTCTTCAGTTTAATACCATGATATTTATTTTTTTGTGAAATTACTTCACTACTTTGTTATAATTATTATTAATACAAAGAATTGAACACAACTCGAACCCGTGTTCCTACCAAACCAGGGCCACCGTTCAACCAACTTGTCTTAAGTTGTTTCGTCATAGTAGTCCTTTCCAGAATTGTTACTTGTGTTCGATCTTTGTATTCATTCTTAAAGGATTTATTTATTTTATTATTTATTAATTGTTAACATTCTTTGTTGTTTATGGTTTTAGACTGAGCTTGGTCACGGAACGTTCCTTAGAGGATTGGAAACAACGGCTACTTACGATCCAAAAACAGAAGAGTTCATTCTTCACAGCCCTACGCTTACTTCTTACAAATGGTGGCCTGGCGGATGTAAGTTTTTTATAATTGCTATAATTCTGAAAAATAAAAAACTATAATAAAAAGATTAATAAATAAATTAAATAAATAGCTTGGTTCTTCAATATAATACATAAAATTTACGTAAAACTGCGTCAAAAATTAAAGCTTCAGCAATTTGCTGGTTTTCAGGCTTCACCTAGTAAGTATTATTAAGTAGTAAGATGAAACGAATATCCGGTAACTATCCGGTATCCGGCCTATCCGGCCTAATTTTACTATCCGGTCGGATTACGGATATCCAAAACAAAAAAGAAAAATTCGCAAACAGTTTGCCAATTAAATAGATTTATTGATTAAAGAGGATAGTAATAGGATAAATAGCAATTACACGATCGTTGACACTGTCGTATTTATGGACAGACGAGTATATTTTCAATTGCATATAATTGTAATAAATTATTACTGCAAACAATTTGTTCAAAGAAAAATATAAATTGATCCATGTATATACAGCCTTATTTGTAAAATAAGGCTCGCACGACAATATTAGTAATAATTATCATAAGCAATAACTTTCCATAATTTTTTTTTTAAATAAATAACGCACACACTCAACATAGCCCCGCACTAGGGAAACCCTGTGTCGCGGGTGCCATGGACACACATATAGACAACCACAAATTACACTCAAACTCAGGAGATAAATAATTGTAGGCCATACAAATATTTCTCCCGGCCCGGGAATCGAACCTGGGACCTCTGCGTGGCAGTCCGGCATGGTAACCGTTCGGCCACGGAGGCAGTTAATAATTTTTATTAATAAGTTTTAATAATTCATCAGATTTGACTTTCGTACTCGAACAAAAATAAAAATAATGAAATTGTTCGCCCTAAGCTGTGATAACTCTGTGCGGTAACCAGTACAGAAGCAAAACGCAGGAGCGGACGGACGGAGGGGTGGACGCTTGCACGTACGAACTTACTACCAAATATAGATCAAAAAGTGTCATAGTATATCAAAAACTTAAAAGTTTACTTTTGGTAAATTTATTTGTAAAGAGTTACGGGACAAAACTTGTCATTGTGTTTAAGCTTCTTATTTTATCATTTCCAGTGGCTCATACTGCTAACCATTGCATCGTGGTAGCTCAACTGCACACTAAAGGAGAATTTCAAGGTATCTACCCGTTCTTCGTACAGATCAGAGACATCGAAACACACATGCCTCTTCCGGGTATCAGTGTTGGAGAAATTGGTCCAAAACAAGGTTTTCAGACTGCTAACAATGGATTTCTTGGCTTTGACCATTTTAGGATACCTAGGGAGAACATGCTCATGAAGAACGCTCAAGTTTTGAAGGTATTTAATTTCTTTTTTTATTTCTTCATTTGCAGATCACGTTTTGGTTTTGTGGGTTTATTTATATGCTTTTTGCTATTTATATATTTTGCTATTCTATGCTGTTTCACTTTCTGATAGCAATACTGCTTTTGAGAAGCAAAGTGACCACGTTGTTAATATATTTGACCACGTTGTTGTAAGTGACCACGTTGTTAACTGACCACGAATTTGCATGTATATTTACATGTACATGCAAATTCGTGGTCAGTTAATAGGTGTACTTGGCATATATTTTTTTTAAATATACGTTTTTGTCTTTAGCTCGAGATTAAACAAGGTAATTAATGTGAAATAATATAGTAATTTATATTTTGAACGACATAAATCTATATTTAATTACAAGGTCTACCGCTTAATTGAGTCCTAGTATTTATGTGGTTTGTGATTGAGTCGGTTCTTGAGGTAGCTGCGCGGTGCGGGAGGAATGACAGTTTACGTAACACTTGTCGCGTTGCGCACGGGATAATTTCAACGAGATTTTTCTGACGACATTTAATAAAAAGTTGATTGAAAAAAGTGTCAATTGGCGTGTCTTTATATGAAACAAAATTTGTATTGAACTGATATTCAATTATTTTTTGTGAAATTACTCCACCAGTTTGTTATAATTATTAATACGAAGATCGAACACTTAGAAAAAATTCCTTCGATCCGGCCGGATTCGAACCGACGTCTTCTAGCAAACCGTGGCAGACGCGATCTGAGCGGCACTGTCGCTGCGCCCGTCACCCTGAGACATAAGTTGACAAGTCCCATGTGCCTGTAATTTCACCAGCACCCTTACCCTTAAATAGGTACCTATTATTCGATCAAAATAAAACACGCATGATGCGAATGAGAAGTTTCATACTTCTCATTGTCTTTTGATATGGAAGAGTATTACTTATTTAACAGTAATTATTTCGGACGGATGTCGGACGGAGAACGGCAGTAGACCGTTATCATTCTGGCCCTATACCCTATACGGGTTAAGAACGTTTTCTAAGAGTTGTGAACCTTCTTGGACGTGAACATTTGAATGTTAGCGAGAGGCACATATTGTTACTAAATATTAACAAATATACATGAATTAGAAATTAATGAGACTAGTTCATGCAGGGATTTGAAGCATTGACCTCTCTTTCTTTTTTTTTTTTTTTTTTGCCAGCCGAGACTATCTTGATAGATTTTTATCTAATATTTACTAATTCACTTAAACAATAATTTATAGAATTTACGGCTACTATATAGTACGTACAAGTGCAAAAATTGAACTGTTTTCCAGGATGGCACAATGGTCAAGTCAACGAATGACAAGTTGACATACGGAACGATGGTGTTCGTGAGAGTAAGCATTGTTAACGATGTCTCATTCGAGATAGCCAGAGCAGTTACAATTGCTGTTCGTTACGCTGCTGTGAGGCACCAGTCGCAGTTGAAGCCTAAGTGAGTAACTAAAAGAGCTCCTTTTAGCTTAGCCCCCCTAGCGATGTGCGATTGCGAAAGATTTCGATATTCGACTCATTAGTAATTGCTTTTTATTAAATCTGAATGATTATTCATTACTAACCCATAGATTCCATAAAGCACAACGATACTCGTGATCACCTAGTCCTCTCTGACATGTGGTAAATACCGTAAATGTGACAGGAATATTTTGTTGTAAAAAATAAAATAAATAAATAAGTAAACACAGTGAATGATCTGGTGGAGATCCGAGTAGTTCCGACACAATAATCATTCGACTTGTGCACCCGACCGACTGGCAGGGGCATTCGAGTTGAGTCGAATGATTGTGCTTGGCTTCGACTTAGGTGAATGATTTGCCCATTCGAATGATTAGTATTAGTAACATTCAAAGTCGCGCATCACTAATCCCTCCAGTTTAATATGCAAGATAATTAGATTCATTTCTCGTCGATACCTGTGCTATTGTACCACATTATTGTACTAATGTTCACCTAAAATGTGCAGCAACCTTGTGATATTGGTTTAATAAGAACAATGTCTCCTTTTTTCCTCTTTTATTTCTATGAAGTGTAAATCAAGATACCTTTTTTAAATTTTTCACCTACCAACTCTTTTCAGTCAACCAGAGCCCCAGATCATTGATTACGTGACGCAGCAGCACAAGTTGTTCGTCCCTATTGCCACCAGTCACGCCTTCAGAATTGTCGGTGATTGGTTGTGGAAAACTTTCGCGTCTTTCAACCGTGATATGAAGCTTGGTAACACGGAACAACTGCCTGAGGTAAGCTTGCCTAAAACCACCTCCAGTAATGGAAAGTAAACTCGACAGTTTATGTTCTTTAATCGCTGTTTTGGGAAGATGCCAAAAGGGCAAAGTATACATTGGTCGTGCGGGCGGAATAGTGAAGATGATATAGTTTACCAGTCACAGTCAGTATGCGCCTATAGTTACGTGTATTAGCACTATACTATCTACTATTTAAAATAATATAGGTGTGGTCATTCCATGATAATTGACTTGTTTTCGTTACAAAGATGTGAGGTATAATATCCCTTTTATTTTTAGCTGCATGCTCTTGCTTGTTGTATGAAAGCAGTGTGTAGCAAAGACGCGTCAATCTGCGTGGAGCAGTGCCGTTGGGCTTGCGGCGGTCACGGTTACATGACATCGTCGAATCTGCCCATAATCTACGGTGTCACTACCGCCAGTGTCACTTACGAGGGCGAGTACACTGTCATGCTACTGCAGACAGCAAGGTAAGAAGATTATTGATGAGTTCTTGGAAAACCTGACTCATATTCGCAAGGGGAGTGTAATGAGTGACCGACATTGCTCGCATGTAGAGTTTACTTTGGTAGCTTTTTTAATGAGAGCATTGAGCTGTTTTGAAACAATTCATTGAATATTTCCAGATATCTAGTCAAAGCTTGGAAGCAAGCTCTCGAAGGCAAGGCAATGACGCCAACAGTTGGTTACATGTTAAACTTCCTCAACAATAACAATGTCAGATGGGACAATACTCCCGAAGGTATCATCAGGGGACTACAAGCGGTTGCCGCAGGGTGAGTGTTTAGGTCCTGAATTGTTTGTTGTATACAATGGATTGATAAGTGCCCCTAATCTTTTAAATAATATTATTCCTTTATGTATTGAAGTTCCTAACAGATACAAAATGATAAATTTTGTATTTTGCAGAAAAACTAAAACGGCCTACGATTCGATTAAAAGGCACCAAAGATCAGGCAAAGATTACGAAGATTCTTGGAATTTATCGTCCGTTCAACTCGTCAACAGCAGTGAGGTAATGTTTTGCGAATTTCTTGTACAAGTTTTCTAACAGGTACAGTCAAGAGCACATCAAGCTTGACACTTTGGGCCGTTATTATCGTAAGCGGCATAGAGTTGGATTTAAGTGTTAAGTGTCAAGGTTGACGTGCTCTTGACCCTGTACATGTACATAAAATATACTTCTTCCATAATCGTCGAAGAGAACAAGGTCAACTTCAATTACAGGATTAACGTGTTCACAGGGTGTTAACAAATTAAAAAAAATGTTTTATTCAGAATCTCAATTATTACGTTTATAGTGGTTCGGGACTTATACTTGTGCTAGGGATACACAAACGTTCACAACTTTTAAATATTGTCGTTTGTGTGAAAATAACCAGATTTTGATATTTTAAAGAAATAATGTTTTTTACTGACAACACAAACTTTAGTAGAGTTGTCACTATATTATTTTAATTGTACTTTACAAATATTACTTTTGTTTTAGTAAACATTAATTTTGTTTGAAAATATGAAGATATTTATCACATATTTTAGTGCTTTATTGAATAAATTTTGTTAAATGCAGTACTTACATACATTTATACCAGCATCGCGGATTGGTGTACCTGTTATGCGTGTGAATGAAATCGAAATGAAATGCTGAATAATTCTGAATTTGAATATATAAATTGCTGAAACACGCAAAATAGGCGCCTTGTCGTCGAGTTGCGGACACCAGCCCGTTACACCAAGTACCAAGTAATTCTGAATTTGCGGCACTCTTGTTCAAAGTCTACTATTTGATATCATTTTTTAAATACCGAGCGGCTAGAATGAAATTTAGTAGCTATACAGCTCCTTGTGAAAGAGTTCGTCCAGGGAAGTACTGCCACCTTACCCATTTCTGCCGCCAAGCAGTAATGTAAGTATTACTGCGTTCCGGTTTGAATGGGTAAGGGTGCTGGTGAAATTACAGACACATTGGACTCGTCAACGTATGTCTCAAGGTGACGGGCATAGCGGCAGTGCCCTTAGGTCTTACGACTTATTCGCCCCGGCACTTGGTATTATAATAATCTCAGTACAGAGTACTAAAAAAACCTCAGACCTTAAAAGTACGTGGAATTACGTCTATTTGCTAAGTTTTATTGGAATATCCTTAAATTCGCCATTATGCAGGACTTGACACTGGAAATAATAAAAATCGGTTCTCACTACTCAAAGTATATTGAGAGAAAAACGCCTTGAATTGGAGAAATAGCAAAATCAACCATTAAAATAATTGCTCCTAAGTAAAATTTAGGCGCTATTTATAAATGTGAATCTTCATGCGCGAACCCCCTTAGCCACCCTTAGAGGTGGATGATTTTCTTCAAAATGAAATGGGACCACTATGGAAGTACCCATTTTCCAATAAAAAAGAATCATACAAATACCGGAGTTATCACGTAACTTCCTCCTTTTTGAAGTCGGTTAAAAAAAAGAATGGTGTGAGCACCCGCGCTGTTCAACTTGAGTGCACCGTGAGATTATATGAATGTGTGTGTCTGTACAAAGCGCGTGGCGATCGCTCACACACACTAGTCACGCTGCTACGTTTGTATGGTGACACTATTTGTCTTATTTATACTATATAGAAATACAATACTATTAGAGCTATTATCTTAAAAGTACATCCTTCATACAGGCTCATTGCCGCGCTGTACTCTGCGAAGTGTACTGGCAAGAGACACAGAAGATTGCAAAGTCAGCATCTGCTAACCTTGGCATTGTACTGACACAACTATCTGAACTGTACCTGGTGTATTGGGCCATCGAGAAGACAGGAGATCTTTTGATGGTACGTAGTTGCCTGTTTCCTAATCGAGACTTTTTTTTTATAATATTAACAACACGCATACTCATAATCCCGCACTAGGGATACCCCGTATTGCAGGTGCCAATAGACCATCACATGACATCCAAACTCACGAGAGCAATAAATAGAAGTATACAAATATTTGTCCCGGCAGACCAGTATGGTAATCGTTCGACCACGGAGGCAGTTGTCGTGAATTTGGGTGTTAATTAGCAATTTTTTTTAATGAACAATTTTTATAACGTACACACTCAACATAGCCCCGCACTAGGGAAACCATGTGTCGCGGGTGCCATGGACACACACGTAGACAACCACAAATTACACCCAAACTCGCGAGAGAAATAAATGTAGGCCATACAAATATTTCTCCCGGCCCGGGAATCGAACCTGGGACCTCTGCATGGCAGTCCGGCATGGTAACCGTTTGGCCACGGAGGCAGTTATAATACATATATATATAATTATAATAAATATAATATATTGAACCACACAGCTAAATTGTTTTTTCAGATATGTAAATACTTTGCAATTAATTGCATATTGTCGTTTATACAGTGTTTTTTTAATTGGATAGTATGCGGAAATCCAAAACTATAGAAAGTACATGGAAGCTGTTTTAGGAACCATTAAGCGAACCCAAATTTCAGTGGATTTTTTAAATTTAATTTATAAAAGTTAATATGAATACAATCGGCTTTATTTCATTTATAATTTTGATAAGATGCATACTTATAAATGCGATAACATATAAATTAAAAAAAATATTACGTTTTATTCGCACGTAAAATGAAAGCAAACATGTTTATTCCTTATTTTAGGGATTCTTAAGTCTATTTTTCAACTTCCTCGCAAGTATGCTGAAAAACATTGCATAACACGGGCGTAGCAGCAGTTCTGCCCTCGTAATGAAAAAAGGCACAACTGCTGTATAAAGTATGCAAAGTGGTGCCTTTTTTCGTTACGAGGGCAGAGTTACAAATATAATTGCCTCTGTTCGTAATTGCTTACTTACCGCCCTGGTGGCAACTGTAAACCTATTATGCAGGTACGTGTTATATCTATAGTTCAAGTTCAAAACAAACTAACTAACAGAACAATTCGTTCTGTTAGTTAGTTTGTTTTGTTAGTTCGAAGCTAGGAAAATGATTTGAATGCCTGACATATTTGTTTATTTATGACATCTTGTATTTATCAATTCAATACGCCTTTATGGATAGTCTTAGCCACGTTATAAAACAACCATCAATAAATTTGGGACTTAAGCATTAGTAGGTATATGCATTGATATTGTTTCAGTGCATAGTTGTATAAATAAATGTATAAATGTATAGTTATCAGAAAGTAATTAAATTGTGATAGTGAGACAAATGGCTTATATTTAATTGTTTGTTGAAAGGCTCAGATAGAAAACGTAATCTATGTTCTACTAATGTGGTGACGTAATACGTGATTGTTATCAGGTTTGATTACAACTGTTAACAATGTACTTGAATTGAATGAGATTTGGTGAAACAACAGGCATAGAGGACTTGTCAACTTTACGTCTCTCACTGACAGGCGCAGTGGCAGTACTCCTAATACCTTTGCGATTTCTATCTCTGAGTTACAATGCAACTGTTATGGGTAGGCGTGTCGCTTACCACCAGGCGCACGATTTGTTTATAAATAATAATAATAATAAATAACGCAAACACTCATAGCCCCGCACTAGAGAAACCCCGTTCGCGGGTGGACAATATTTCTCCCGGGAATCAAACCCGGGACCTCTGCGTGGCAGACCAGCATGGTAACCGTTCGGCCACGGAGGCATTTATCTCGTCAGTTGATATCTTATCAATTCATACTAGCTACTGATGAAATGGACATTTAATACATGGTATAGACTCTTATATATGATATTTTTATTTCTGTACTTGTTTACTCAATATTTTTGTTTATAATATAGTTGCCAGACGTTTGTATAATAATATTGGAAGTGTAAGCTGTTCAATAAAACGATTTATTGTGAATGTCGTAATATCGTAAAGGTAAAAGACATATAAAATACGGTTAGCCACTTAAGTTTAGCAAAAATTCAGAAAAAATCGAAAGGGTAGCCTTTTTATTATATTGTTCCACTTTTATATAATCGTCTTTATTCATAATTAATTTATTCATTGTGCCATGTGGATTAACAGAGGTGTTACGTAATAGCATTCCAGCACATGAACCCTGTAAGGGCACTACGATGATAATAACTTTATAATCGGGAGTGCTCTGAGGAACTTTTCGAACTGGTGCCACTGTCTCGTTTCTACCATCGCACCTCCCGCCAAAGGAGTAGAGTCCATCTCCACATCTTAGATGCCTGGCATTGTAAGACCACGCAGGCATCTCGTTCGTTCCTTCCTCGAACCTACAAGATGTGGACTGATCTTAATCCTGAAGTATTATTTCTTTTGCGCTTATCTTACAGGGTTCTTCAAAAAGCGTATTTACAGGGCTCTCAAAGTCTGGCAACGCGTTGGCAGCTCATCTGATGTTGCAAATGTCCATGGGCGACGATGACCACACCCCATCAAGTGGCTCGTCTGCTAGTTTGCCTCCTTCTTTACATTAAACAAAAAAAACCTATCAATATCTTCAGTTTACATGGAATACTCAGTTTATACAATACAAATCTATATAAAAGATCTCTTTTCCGGCGAAAGTTAATTTGATGAAGTGAGGTTTATATTACAATTTGTTTTTTCAGTTCTCAACAATATCCAAGAGCGACATTTTGATACTGCAACAGCGATATGAAGAACTCCTCGGTCTGATTCGACCCAATGCTGTCGGTTTGGTTGACGGATTTGACCTTGCAGATAAGGTAAGAATGCTATTGTCATCTACAACATTAAATTAATTAACTTATTTAGGCCATAATAACGTTCAAACTCATCATCATTTATATTATGTATCCATTGTACGTGGAGAAGCGTTGTCCGACTATGGGCTTCCATCGCTGTAGTAGAGACGGCGTTCAGTGACGGGACGGTACGACAAGGGATTTTTAGTTTAGGGATACCTACCGGCCAGCAGTCTCCGGAATGTCTCGACAGCCTTTGGGATGCTTCGGCAGATTTCCGAAATTTATTCGCCCAAAATATAGTTCTCTTCTTCATCTTTAGCAAGAAATACTATAAGCAGCATTAAGTCCCAAACTATTATTTTTAATATACAATTGATAATAGACTAGCTTGCAACGTTACGACTGATCTGAAGAGATATTATGCGCGAGCACGACGATGACGACACGACGTCCTTTGCCATTTCGTCCCGCCACTGGGCTTTAGGAATTCAGATTCTTGACGTTCATGAAACCTGCAACTTAGAGACCACTAGCGTTTTTCGAGAGCGTCAGCGTCTTGACAACGTACGCACGGTATCGACACGGCGTCCGCGCTGCGGCGGGGTAAAGACAGCGCGGCGTAAATGAGCGGTTGTTGGGGGTGTACTCCCGTTCTTTTGATTTAGTCGACTATTACTTATTTGACAGTGATTGCTTCGGACGGATGTTGGACCCTCTAAATAGTGCCCAACGTCGGGTATACGCCTGCGTTGGTAAAACCCTAACGCTTGACAGATGTTAGTGTGGGGGTCTCTTAATATTTACTATGTAATCTGTAACATCCAGAAACAGTAGTACATTTATGCTTTCAATTTCAGATTCTAAACTCGACGCTCGGTGCCTACGACGGGATGGTCTACGAGCGTCTTATGGCTGAGGCAAAGAAGAGTCCTTTAAACGCTGAGCCAGTGAACCAGAGCTTCCATAAATACCTCAAACCTCTTATTATGAAGGGAAAATTGTAAAGAAATATCAGCAGTAGTTTAATATGCTTGATGTTACAGACTAATATGGAATACCACAGGGCAGGGTTTTGGCATAGTATAAGACAGGTAGCATGTAACTTCCACTTGTTCAGCGCGTCATTCACCAGTGTAGAGTTGTCACATTATTGTTTTAGATGCGCCTCTTGTTGCAAAACATAATTTGAGAAAAACTCGTGCTATGTTATTGAAATAATCTTTATTAAATGCAATATTAAACGTATTGCTTACATATTGATATTTTTATACCAGCATCGAGGATTAATATCTCGATTATGGAATCGATCATTCTCGGACTAGTGTTCACTACCTAATTTTCGTGGCAATTTATATTATTTAAATGTTCGTTTTTTTATCCTTCAATATTATTTAATAGTCGAGTATTGTAACGTGAAATATTATTTAATAATTACTCGATTATGTAATATAGAATATACTTGAATATTTAAATAATAAAAATTGCCACAAAAATTAGGTAGTGAACACTAATCTGCGAATGACCAGAATATGATCATGAAATAAAAATGAAATGCGAGTTTGTATATATGCATAACGATACATTTAAAAATACAAAACACACAAAATATATTTTCAAATTACAAAAAATATATTTATTTTATATTTCAAACACCAAGTGAATGCTTCCATTCTATAGTGAATGTCGCCTACGATCCTGTGCAACCCGTGTGCACCGCGATATTACTGTACTAGTCTTATTCTACTATGGTTTTGGGGTTACCTACGACAGCAACAGTCAGAGATGGGCAGCGGGTTAAAACCCAATCAACTTGCCTTGGCAAGTTGATTGGGTTTTAACCGGGTTTTTACTCAAAACACCTGGGCAGAAAAGGCGAAAACGGAATTTGGTATAATTCCATATTTCATACAAATTTCGTTGAAAAAATATTTTTAGACAAAAAAGAGGCAACTCCATACAATACCCACCTTGCAATCCTGTGGATTCTCACGAATTTTTATGAAAATCGATTCAAGTTTATACGATGTAATTAATTTTGATTCGATTAATTTGAGTGCGTTTTTAAAGCGAATCGATTCAATAGAAAGTCAAATCAAATCGTCAGATTAAAAAGCAATAAACTTTTGCAATAATATCATTCAATGTGAACAAAACTCGATTTATAACTTATATATAAATGTATATAGATTTTGTTAATGTAAATAGATTTTCTCTTCGATTTCGGGTGTTAACGGATTTTAACCTAATTTAAATCCGGCGTTAACAAAGTGCCGGGTTAAAACCCGGGCGCTAGTCCATCTCTGGTAACTCCTAACGTCATACATGAAGATTGTACATTTTGTAATTTTGTTGATAATGTCATATTTATATTTGCTATAAGAATTATATTTAAAGATTACATATATTTTGGGATGGCGAAACCTTGTTTTATTCTTGCCTTTTACTAATTAATATACGTAATCGATACAAACTGCGATCAGAGTACAGTAATAGCGTCAGTACGTATTGGACATTTTTGGTTACATGAATTTCTTATGGTACTAAATAAAATGGGGCAGTATAGTTATCGTCAAGCCAGTACAATAATCGAATGTCAAGTAGTTAACCACGTCACACATTTCCTCACTGTATTGGGTTGTTTCTAGTGAGTAGACAGTCTTCAAAATTTCCACAGTGGCAGTGTTTGCATAAATGATTTATTTGTTATTTACGACTATCACTTATACAAAATCTTGCATAAAAATGTGGACGCCCCTATTTTGTAGGATATTTTTTAAAACAACACTTAAAAATAATCACAAACACCAAAAAGATAATTCTAATTTGACATTATAATAATTCATCATAGTAGATAAACCTGCAGTTTCACAGAGATCGCTGTGCTGCGGAAATTCAATAAAAAAAAGTACTTGTGTGTGAACCATTTTCATAATGTAAATGCATTAAAAATGTTACGTTGTAACTACACTCGGTTTTAAATTAATTCCTTGCCTTTTCAACATTGACGGTGACGCCATTATTATTTTCACGCGTTAGTGCGTTTGTGTATGGACCACGACGCTAACGTAGCACTTAAATCGTTCTAAAAACGCTCATTATTGCTAAAGATCGTTAATCGTTTGTTGCGTTTGTTGTATCTGTGTCTAGTTTGTCGATGTCTGACGTCTCTCGGTAAAAAATATACTATTTTGTCATTGACTTACAATTATATGGACGTCGGGTCCGCGCTAAAAAGTGTCCGAACTTATAGGGCGTTAAAATCGTATACAGAGCGTCATTCACGCTTTAGTCTTCGTTTGTTCGACTGACAGCGAAGCAAGCAAAATTAGACAGTACTGCGATGACATTACAATTTAAATTGAACGTTTTAGCTTATTCATATTCCTTTACATGTCACTACGTTTAAATAGGTTGACTTGGGACATTTTTTCGTGGTTTTTGTATTAGACCCGTCGTCCATATAATTGTAAGTCAATGTATTTTGTAGTTAATTTTTCTACGCAAAATTGTAAAAGTCTGCTTGTTCTTCAATAAAAAGAAAAAAGGAATCCACTATAACGAATATTCGTAAAATATCATAGTTACTTCAAGAGTTTCATAAACGTTTCATTATTTTAAGCTAACTAACTGTCATTTTTGTGTCGTTAAACTTATACGTTGTTCTCCGCTTATCGCCTTTAACTTTTTACCATGTTTTAATACACGTTGTTTTTAAAGAACTTGAAAAAAAAGAGGAGCTTCTCAAATCGACTGTATTTTTTATGTTGTACTTATGTCACGCGATTACTAGAACATTTATGAACCTCAGTGGTCCTATTCAAATTTCAAGAAAATATTCCACCTCTAAGCATGGTAAATTTGGGATGAATACGATTTATTGGATGACCCACTTTCCGTTAATCCGATTTTAATAAAACTTGGCAAATAGATGTAATTCCAAAAACTTTTGAGGTCAGTTTTTATATAAAAAAGTTTTATCTATTATTAATCTTTACTTACGCAACCGACATTACACAATGCATTGTGTCTAATCTAAGTCTAATTTTGTTAAATTTTGCCTTTACTTTAACTTAAGGTCTTTCGGGTCGTGTTTTTGTAAAAACTAACACTTATTATTATTTTATTATATTATTTATATAAAAAGTAATAAATATATTTATACATTTCAAGTACAAACGCCGAAGTCACTTTGTATTTACATAAGAGGTCAATTGTTCAATTGTTATATACTCTTTAGAATCAAAATGTCCTTTCGTTAGACGCAACGTGTTTAAAAGATAGGGCCAAATTTAAAAATTAATTTAGGAACAAATATTTAAAAACAACGTGACCTCCAATTTTCATTGTAATGTCCGAGTTGTAGATAATAGCAGCTTGAAATTAATAAAATGGCTGAAAACAAAACTAACGTCAATGTGAACGAAGATTTAGCGAAAGAAAGACTGAAGTGCAACTTTGATTTGGAAGAAGTGACAAATATTCTTGATGGTGGTAAAGAAAAAACTATAATTAGACGTAACATTGGTAAGTATCAAATTTTAAATCTTTCAATCAATGAATCAATCAGCCTATTGCAGTTCGCTGCTGGACATAAGCCTCCCCAGGTGTACGCCATAGTGGCCGATCACCAGTTTTCCGCATCGAACCACTACCCGCGACCTTCTTCAGGTCGTCGGTCCATCTTGCAGGGGGACGTCCTACGTTACGTTTGCTGAGACGTTGTTTCCACTCGAGAACCCGTCTACTGCATCGCTCATCGGTTCTGCGACAGATGTGGCCAGCCCACTGCCACTTCAGCTTGCTACATTTCTGGACGATGTCCACAACTTTAGTCTTATGCCGGTAACTTCGTTCCGGACTTTGTCCCTTAACGAGATACCCAGCATAGGCCTTTCCATAGCTCGCTGAGCCACGTGTAGTCTGTGAGCCAGTTTGACCATCATATTCCACGTCTCGGCTCCGTAAATCATGACCGGTAGGACGCATTGGTTGTAAACGCTGGTCTTCAGGCACTGTGGGAGTAGTGACTAGAAGATATGCTGCAGTTTTCCAAATGCTGCCCAACCCAGCTGCACTCTGTACACTGTAGCTAGGAAGCTATTTCACGCTCGAAGTTGTCTCTGCCTAGTTGCAGGGTTTGCTCGAGGTACACATATTCTCGGACAACTTCAAGCGTTTCGCCATTAATCGAGATCGGCACCGTGATGACGAGCTCATTGAACAAGACCTTAGTCTTGTCCAAATTCATCCGAAGACCGACCGATAATGAGGCAGCATTAAGGCTGTTCAACATTTTCTGCAGATCATGCAGCGATTCTGCCATTATAACGATATCGTTGGCAAAGCGAAGGTGTGTGAGATTTTCGCCATTGACATTGATGCCCAATCCGGTCCAATCCAGTGTCTTAAAGACGTCCTCCAGAGCGTTTGAGAACAGTTTCGGAGAGATAACATCTCCCTGTCTCACGCCTCTGTGCAACTGGATGGGTCTTGTCTTGTTGCTTTGTGTTTGGACGGACATCGTGGCCTTGCTGTACAGATTTCTCAGCACCTCTACGTACCGCCAATCGTCTTGACATCGCTGCAAGGATTCCAGAACAGCCCAGGTTTGGATGGAGTCGAAGGCTTTGTCGTAGTCCACGAATGCTATATACAGTCGCTGATTATACTCTTCGGACTTCTGTCTGATCTGCCGAACAGTGTGTATGTGATCCACGGTGCTATAGCCTTTTCGAAACCCTGCATGTTCCGGCGGCTGGAAAGTGTCAAATCTTCCGGCGAGACGATTTGTGAGGACTCTCGAAAACAGCATATAAACGTGGCTCAGGAGCGCGATAGGTCTGTAGTTCTTCAAGAGGGTTTTGTCTCCTTTCTTGAAAAACAAAGCTACAATGCTTCTGCTCCACGCCTCCGGGGTAGTCACATTGGATATGACGGCGTTGAATAGCTCCTTGAGCTTTCTGAGCACTGGGTCTCCTCCTGCCCTGAGAAGCTCAGAGGTTATTCCGTATTCGCCGGGAGTCTTCCCATTATTAAGTTTAAGAACCCTCCCTATTTTGTCTTCGTCCACTTCTGGCAGATCGTCTGTGAAGTAGCGTGAAAGTATGGCTCTTGGGTCGTTCGCGTTGGGTGGTGGCTTTGGAGCGAGGCATATAGACTGCTGTAAAAGTCCTCGACTTCTGCGAGTATTGGAACTGCTGTGACAGTTTTACCGCCGGAGGTATGTAGTTTCGTCAGTTGACATCTACCCAGTATTTTTGTAAAGACTTTCGACCCCCGATTCCTCTCAATAGCTTCTCGTATGAGTTGCGTATCGAGGCTACGGAGGTCGCGTCTCACCGATTTGCGTATGGTTTTGTTGCATCCAACTAGAACGCTTCGGAGCCATGCATGGTTTGGAGCAGCGTTGGACGAATAAGAGATCTCGTCATACGGCTTCTCTCGACCTTGAAGTCGTTATTTGGGATACCTCTTACGAGTCCGTGGTCGCCACCGGTATTGCACCTCTTGACCACAGAGATATCCCCAAAAATACGCTTCTTGTCCGTCAAGATGAAGTCGATCTCGTTCTTCGTCATACCAGTGGGGCTTTGCCAGGTCCACTTCCTATGGGGCTTCTTCTTAAAGAAAGTGTTCATTCAGAACAGCCCCTGCATGTCCAGGATTTTTTTAAGAAGTTTACCAGCATTTGCCCCCTTTGGTTTCGCTTTTAAATTTTAAATCTTTAGTAAGTGAATATAAAGTTGATAAATTTATTTTTCACTTCACTAGTTCGGAAAGATTTTCTTTCTCATTATAAATCTGCGCGTGATAGAGTTTATTCCACACTAGTGTGGAAAAGGTTTTTGAAATTGGAACTTGACGATGCACCTTACTTATTCTTTCGATGAAAAAAAAAACATAATGACACGACGTTAGTTGAACTAAGCGATTTGTCGTACATTATATACTATAAATCCTTTGGTATATTTTGTTCTTATTATTGTTGGCATTAAATTGACAATGATAATTAATTTTGTTTATTAAAACCTCTGTCCTAGATTAAATCTGATTTGTTATGTTCAACTGTTTTTCTTTCATCTGCCATTTTCCTCTCTATAGTGAGGTGAAAATTTGTGTGTTTTGCTCGGCAGCAAAGTAGTTTTGCGTCTCGTGCCTTGAAATTCTCTCTACGCTCAGGATTCTATTTTTTTAAACCACGAGCGACAAAGCGACAAGCACTCGAGTCGAACAACAACTTTGCAGCCTTGCATACCAAATAACTTTTAAATAACAGTAGCTAACCCAGAAATAAAATATCAGCAATTACATTTCGAAGCCGTGGTAGCCTAATGGTTTGACCTACTGCCTCTCAAGCAGTGGGTCGTGGGTTCGAATCCGGGTTCGCACCTCTGAGTTTCTCGGAATTTATGTGCGAAATTTAATTTGAAATGTATCTAGCTTTTCTATCTAGCTTGTCGGTGAAGGAAAACTTGGAAAACGTGCGAAGTCCCCAACCCGCATTGGGCCAGTGTGGCGGACTATGGCCTAAACCCTCGTCTGAAAGGAGACCCGTGCCCAGCAGTGGGACGTGTAAAGGGTTGATGGTTGTGAATTGCAATAATTAACGTTTAAGAAACACACCATAAAACTGTAAGAATTTAAACGATATTTAGCCCTATCGTTAAACTGCCTCCGTGGCCGAACGGTTACCATGCCGGACTGCCACGCAGAGGTCCCAGGTTCGATTCCCGGGCCGGGAGAAATATTTGTATGGCCTACATTTATTTCTCTCGTGAGTTTGGGTGTAATTTGTGGTTGTCTATGTGTGTGTCCAAGGCACCCGTGACACAGGGTTTCACTAGTACGGGGCTATGTTGAGTGTGAGCGTTATTATTATTATTATCGTTTGGTTTTTTCGTTAGTTTGTTACTTTTCGTACTCAATTAACAATGTACAAACACCAGTGAACAGCAGTGGAGCGTAAGAATTTTGAGGACCCAGGACAGACTACAGCCAGGTTAAATCATATCAATGATTTTGACAGAGTAGGTTGCAAACACCTAATTTATTTTATTTATTAATTTTTCAAATGTGTTGCAATGGGTTTTATCTGTTATCGTTGTTAATGTCACATGTAGTTTTATTTTAGAGGATATAACGTTCAATAGTGGAGCGTGGAAAGACGAGATTCCTGACGAATGTTTGGGCCCAAAGGAACGCTACGAAAATGCAATCAGGAAATCTTGTTTATATGCGAAAATTATAAAAGAACAAATATTACAGCTATCCGATGGATTGGAAAATTTCGCGTAAGTGGAAAATAATCGATTTAAAGGCTTTACCCTAAAGATCAATAGGGGAAAGGTGTACCAGATGATCCGTTTAAGGGATAATGGTGGTAGTTTAAAAGATATTCAGCTTAAAGCAGATGTAAAAGCGTTGAATTATATAAAATTTATCTATTTACTTGTTGTCTTACTAAAAAAGTTTTATTTTTTTATCTTTCATTAATTATATTAGAATATTTTTAAAACCCTACTAAAGGATCCTCAAGAGGAGGAAGGATAATCCTCAGGGTATGGGTAAGATGGTCCAGGAGATCGTCTTCCCCCTATTTAGGACAATTTCTAGATGTTGGTAGAAACAAATGAAAACAACAACTTTTTAGACTTAACAAAGGCCTCACTTATGTAATCTAGGTATATGAAACAACAGTTACGGAACTTCGAGAACAAATAATCCTTATTAACTAATATCTTACAGGTACCTGTGGGCGATATTGTTTTTGACATTGACAAAACATCTTGTTTCAATAGCCCATAAATCCTAGTCTCCACATCTTTAATGTTTTTTCACCTAAATATTTCATTGAATCCTTTATTTTTAAAGCCTTTAGCCCGGCTTTTTAATGACATAACGCGTACCTACTGCAAACTATTAATTGCCAATCTATGTGGCATTCTACTTTTTACTCCTCTAGTTCTTTACATCATAGTCATCCGACTACCCACCACGATTCGTTTTTCTTTTATAATTACGCGGACTGGTCTAAAACAAGGAAAAAGCATTTATATTTGTTATTAATTGAGATCGATCACGTAAACGAAATCCAGTCTTATACTATTTTATTTGTATTGCAAAGTATTTAATTAAGAGATTTCAGTACTCAGAAAAACATACAAATTAAAAATAGTACATTAACAATATATACAGTAAAAGATGATCCCCACGGATCATCTCGTACACCAAAACCATAATCATCTTGCCCCAATTTACTATTTTTTTTTGTTCGGCAAACTAACCTGTATACTGTCTATAGTTACCATGCCATTAACAAAATAATAATAGAGCATTATACAAAGCCACCAACACAAAAATCTTAGCAAATGATTGCTTAGAATGGAAGTTGTCTAAGCTTTTAATCAACTTTACCTTAGATTAAACTCACACAATTTTTTTCTTTTCTCTCGTCTCTCAAATCGCTATTACGAATTGACCGATGATGGGTACATTGAGGCCTACATTTTACTGAATGACGTTACTATTTTCGCTACAGTTGAAAAGGATCATCTTACCTTTCCAAACATCATCTCGTACACCTTTCCCCTACTTAGGTATAAAAAGTATTATACAGGGTGTAATTATTAAATGTGCCCAGGCGATTATTCCGTATATATGTACAGAAGATGGGCAAGGCGCTTTGTTAACGCCTTTACATAAACACGTTCCTTCTTGTAAGTAGTTACTCAAGCTGGAAAATAATTTAATAAAATAAGGTTCCTTTGCTATAAAAACGGTACAATGAAGAGCACGTCATTATGTACTTTGGACCTTTCTTATCGTAAGCGGCATAGGTTTGGATTTAAATATTAAGTGTCAAGCTTGACGTGCTCTTGACCTTGTAGGAGAACAAGAGTTCAGTTTAATGATGATTTAGATATTATTAATTTTTTATTATTAATTAGACTACCTATTGGATAATCCACGAGAATCGACTCAAGACACGCTTATTTCCGGTGTCCCATGAACACAAATTATTAAAAAAATACTACTTTTAGGCTTTCAAGATAAAATATGTTCATACGTTGCAAAATGATGAACTTGCTCGTCGCCTGGTCTATTGCAATTAGGTAGTTGCAAATTGGACGTCGGTGCAAATTGGACACTACGTTGGTGTAAATTGGACGAAATCGCGAGATAAAAACAATTTTTCTGATGCCTGTTAAAAACTACTTGTTTGATATGCATTACTAAGTGATTTTTAATTAATTCCAGTAATAATTACCGTAGATATTGAACGATTAATGTTACGTTGATTGATGATATTGAAAACCGTATACCGACAATAAAAAAATTTTGCTAATACTGAACCTAAAAACACTAATTATGGTGGAATCATAGTTGTTTTTGATTAGAATTTCGGTTAATTAACGATTACATCCTGAATATTTAAATAGACCTCTACTTCCGAACATTTAAACAATGGAAATTAATGCGCTGATTTCAGTTGGCCTGCAACCTAATGACCTTCGTTAAATAAATAGACATTTGACAAAACATACATAGTCGGCTAAATTCGTAAACTTCTTAGCCTCCATTATTGTGAACCCTGTATTTTGTAACTAAAAAAAGTCTACAAATTATATTTTAATGCACTAGAAGAATAAAAAGGGATTTCGTAGAAAAACGGAGTTACAAAGTTTTAAGTAGTAGTAGAGCTCCTTATGAAAGAGGCACTGGCCACCTTACGTATTTCTGCCGCCAAGCAGTAATGTCAGCATTTCTGTTCCGATTTTGAAAAGGGCTGGTGAAATTACAGGCACATGGGGCTTGTTAACTTACGTCTCTGGGTGACGGGCGCAGTGGCAATGCTCCTCAGATCTTTTGCTCTGAGCTCTGAGTGGCTCTGTAACTGTAATGTACTAATAAATAACTTAGCATCAGGCGCACGACTTGTTCGTCCAGTCACTTGATGTTATAAAAAAAAGTTTTCTAATTTAGCCGACGCACTGTTTATTTCAGAATAAACAATGCATTCATTTGCATTTGTTTTCTCTTTCCTTGCTCTCGGTTTTCTTTTACTGTTTAAAAAAGAGAGCACTTTTAATTCCTCATTTTTTTTTATAGAAATGCAAACTTTATGCGCCATGCATCAGATGCATTTTTCAAAGAGGTATCTCCGTTCTTACTACACTTGGGAATGTTTGTACCAAGCATCATCGGTCAGTGTACACCGGAACAGCAGGCAAAATGGTTACATAGAGCTTTGGATATGCAGATTATTGGAACTTATGCTCAGGTCTGGTTTTTAAACAGCAGTGTAAAAAAAATAATTTTGACGACTTTCGTGGTTCAGTGGGTCCTTTTATGGTTTCGCTTTCTTTAAGGTCCCGGGTTTTGATCGCCGGCCGGATCAATGTAGACTCCCTAGCTACTGTAATTCTACAGTATCCCATTATTTAATTTCTCATTCATTACTTACCAAATCACTCCCTGACTCCTTTTATTGTCAATACGGATCCCTAGCGCGTAGCGCGTAGTCTGTTTCGGCGACTCAATATGACAAACGGATATGCATTATCACATATTTTACATATTTGCAAATAAACATAGGACAAGCGTTATTTTCAAATGATTCACGTGTACTGTTATAGAGTGCGTAAGTGTTGCCTATATAAAAATATATATAGGTAATTTGAGACTGTTATGTGCGATTAGGAAGATATACTCTATTTAGGTACAGATTACCATTTTTGAATAGGCGTTAAGCATGTTCTATTTTGCTTTGAACCGAACAAGGATTTTCAGTTTATGTTAGTCTAAGATCACGGTCAATACATGACAAAAATTAACCAAATTTCAGACTGAACTTGGCCACGGCACATTCATTAGAGGTTTGGAAACCACTGCTACTTACGATCCCGAAACTGAAGAGTTTGTTTTGCACAGTCCCACATTAAGTTCCTATAAATGGTGGGCAGGAGGCTGTAAGTTATATTAACTTTATGCTAACTTATTTTTGTTAACTATTGTCTATTTTGTAAGAAGTTAGACGCTTGCAATTGTTATTCTCAAATGCTTCGTCACCTAAATCAAAAGTAAACTGTTGTTCGCGAGGCACCTCGTTAGGCAAACGCTTGGCCAACCTCGCTACGTTGGTTTTGCAGCAAGGCAGCCTCGCGCGGTAAATTGTCGCGCTGCTTGCTCATTCAGTACGCGGATATGTCGACACTGTCATTTTCCTATTTAATGTTTTAACGTTGTTCTTTGATTTATTAACTATGTATATTTTGGTTTTAAGTGGGCCATACCTGCAACTATTGCATCTTAGTTGCACAGCTGTATACCAAAGGAAAATGCTATGGAATTCATCCATTTATTGTTCAAATTCGTGATGAGGAGACTCACATGCCTCTTCCCGGGATCAAAGTGGGAGATATTGGCCCACGAATGGGTTTTAGTACTGCTAATAATGGCTTTCTCGGTGTTGATAAACATCGAATTCCGAGGGAAAATATGATGATGAAGAATGCTCAAGTTTTGAAGGTAAAGTGTTTCTATCTGTATACAAACAGTCTCTCCTTGGAACCTACCTTAGAATTATTACCCATAATATCAAAAAGAATGAAAATTTTGAATAGCAAGCTATCGTGAGACTCAGGCATATTACCTAGACTAATGGATAATTCACATGACGTAGTTAGTGTAGTGTGCAATTCTACGCATGAGTTTAATAAGATTATATATATAAGATATAAGAATAAGAAGCAAATTGCTCTCCGCTGCCGCCTGCGCCCGCACTCGTTCTGAATGACCGGGCTGTCAGGAATTTGGATGCGCATTTGTGGTTGTTTCATCGCCGCGGAAGTTTATGTATAAAAACCACGGACTGGTTCGAAACATGTCGAGCAAAACTTGACTTAAATACATGAGTTATCCGTAAGTTTATTTAATAAATTAAAACTTTGTGAGTTAGGCTGCTGAGCTTTGCTTTAAACTCTCGACGTTCTGATTCTTTATTGATTTGATTCCAGGATGGTACTTATGTCAAGGTATCAAGACATGAGAAATTAACTTACGGAACAATGGTATTCGTTCGAGTGATCTTAGTGCACGAAGTGGCTTTTAATTTGGCCAAAGCTGTCACCATCGCGACACGGTATTCGGCAGTGAGGAGGCAGTCTCAACTTAAACCAGGGTATAAATTTTAACCATTTAGTACAGATTTAGTCCTAGTATTTAAGCGTATCTGCTGTGTCATATTTGGATAAAAATATATCCTCAATTGCTAATTGATCTCAATAATTTTCTCAGTTTCCCAGAGCCTCAAGTCCTGGACTATATAACACAACAGCACAAGTTGTTTATCGTCATCGCGACATCTCACGCCCTGCATCTGACCAGCATATGGCTGTGGACAACATTCACTAGAGTTATCGCTGACATGCGTCAGGGTAACACCGATGCTTTGCCAGAGGTAAAGAATTTAGAGTTATATCTGATAAAGGTTTGTGATTTACATTGAATACGTCCAAAGACAATTAAAAACTGGCTAAAGACATCCAAGTGCTTTACACAAACACAAAACACATATAGAAGTAGTTGTGTTTGCGTGAAGTTTTCGAAATTACCTGAAATTTCTTATATTTAGCACAAGTAGCAAACTAATCACAAGAGATTGACCAATATTTAAACATTTACAAGCAACTCTCGTTGTGTTTCCAGCTTCATGCACTATCTAGTTGCCTCAAGGCATTAAGCACCTCCGTTGGTGCTGACTTCATCGAGCAATGTCGTCTTGCTTGTGGGGGGCATGGATACATGCTATCTTCTAATCTTCCTTTTATTTACTCCTTTGTAACGGCTACTAGGACTTACGAGGGAGATTATACCGTATTGCTGCTACAAACCGCTAGGTAAGAAGAAAAATATTTCATAAGTAACATTTTAAATGGAGAACTAAATAATCAACAAATAAGACAAGGTTACAAACAAGAGTACTTATGGTGGCATCTCGTTGAATTTGTGGATTTGTTCTGTTTTTTTTTATACTTTAGCCTGAAGATTGTTATTTGTGCCGATTGTATAATGTGTATATGCGTGGCGTTCGTAACGCAATGTTGCCATTTCCACGGTTGAAACAATGTTGTTTTTTTCAGATTTTTAGTAAAATCATTCGAGAAAGCTGAGGCGGGAAAACCGTTAACACCAACAGTATCGTACTTGGAAACTGCTTCCAAAGGTGGTAAAGCTACTTGGAACAATTCTTTGGAAGGAATGATCCTGTCCTTTGAGCGAGTTGCAGCAGGGTTAGTACTTAAGGAAAATCAGTTGGATTTTAATTTTTGTTGTATAAATTAAACTATAAAATAACTTCCTCGCTTAGTGTAGAGTGTAATTTAGTAAATGCGTTATGTTTTTTACCAGGAGTATAGCTACTTGTATAAATAGTATTAGAAAGAAGATGGAAACTGGTATGAGCTGTGAAGATGCGTGGCAACAGACGGCAGTTTCACTTGTGGTCGCAGCTGAGGTATAAAATACATTTTAACATGTCCATCCTATAGTTTCTTGTATCTTAGGATATTTCACAAAAGTTCTCGACATCGGTACTTTTAGTCGTGCAGTTATTGTCAACCAGAGGATGAGTTGTTTTTAAAATTTATTGATATGATGGAAGGGGAGTGAGAAAATTCGTCAGAGAAAATACCTCAAGCTGAGGATATCAACTTAACTATAGATACCAAATCCTCAATGCCGTTCATTCGAGTGTAGTTTGGGTCAAAGAACCAGATAATAATATAATTTGTCTAAGTCTTTAGAGCTTTGTTAAGTTTCAGGGTATATCCTCCAGGTGGGCTTGCATATTTTCTAAATGTTTACCAAAAATCTCTGACAATTCTGTCAATGTGACAGTGTTATATATTAAAATGTTTAAAAATTTACTAGTAGTTTAGTTTCTTTTCAGGCCCATTGTCGAGCAGTACTTTGCAGAGTGTATTGGAGTGAGATAACTCGAATGACTGCCTCATCTAGTCCTAATGTCAAAACAGTGATGCTTCAGCTAGTATCTCTTTATTTGACATATTGGGCGTTAAAGAGCACAGGAGATTTATTGAGGGTAAGATAAGATTGTTACATTAATAGAGTTTTTAATAGTGGTTGCGGTTGATTTTATGATTCTGTTTGAATTATAGGAGTGCTGGACTTAAATATAGGCGCGCGGTTCCTCGTAATATATTCGTAACATGGCTGTTACGAATATATTATTCAAAATTGTTTTCACAATGAACAAATAAAGTTACACCAGAGGCAGAATACCTCTTAAATACTTCGAAGGACTCAAATCAACCCTTCCTCTCCTTTATATTAGTGTTGCCATTTTACAATTATTGTCATTGTTACGATTATATGATCAATACATAATGAATAGCGTTAAAGTTCTATGTAGACTATAATTAAATTTTTCAGTTTCGTAGCGAGTACCATAGACAATGGAATTTTGGTTCAGAAATAAAAGAGCGACTTTGTGATATGGTTTATTAAATTTTATTTGGCAGAATTAAAGTACAAGAGTAGAAAAATGCGCTATTGATGTATCACATGTGTCTTTATCTTAGAGGATGGAAAAAAATAAACAGTCTAAGGTCTTTATTAAACCAATTTATGTATTTATGTAGGTGTTTATAAATTTGTTTTAGTACTCGACAATAAGCGAAGAAGACATAATAAATTTGCAACACAGGTATGAAGAACTCTTGGGGTTGTTAAGACCCAATGCTGTCGGTCTGGTTGACGCTTTTGACATCAGAGACGAGGTTAGTAAGTCTATCAGGACATTGGCGAAATCGCCATTTTTTTGTATAATTTTTATAATAATACTAAACTACCGTACATTGTTATTTTTACTTGACATTCGCAAAATCATTGATTATTTCGATGGGGCCATAACATTTAAAAGAGAAGAAGAAGTAAATACGTGTTTAAAATGTGTCTGACTTTGGTATTAGAACTTAACTGATATAACATTTAAAAGAAAAAGATGATGATGATTTTTCAAAGTCAAACGCAAATAATCTTTATTTCACAGGTAAGATTATTTACACTTGAAATCGTTATATTATATATTATATTATTATATTATTTAACTCGTGTTAAAGATTTCTCTTAGAGCCCCTTTAAAGACCCTTAGGTCTATTCGGCGAACTTCGAACTCTTGCGTGCGAGCAATAGCTTCAATGTAATATCCACACAGGCTGATATTGACCTTTTAAACACCTGTGTTCCATCGGTAAAGCGTCTTGTTAGTAGTTTGTAATTTATTACTTTATCTAATTCGGTAACGGTCACGTGATATAGTAGTGGTATATCGGTTCCCTATACTCCTCGGTCATTTCTTGGTATTGTTCAGCGATTTGATCAAATATTGCACTGTCCCTAGCCTGACACTGGCTGTTTTTTGGACTACGCTTGCGGCTTGTGCATGAAAATTAATTTTTACTTTAAAACGTTATTGTTTCCGATGCTACTCCTATAATGGATTTTGTAGGTACCTAAATACATTATATTTGGGAGGCCTATGTTCAGCAGTGGACGTCTTCCTGCTGATATGATGATGATGATGAAATACATTATTTTAATTATTATAAAGTTATAATAGAAATTTCTTTGTTATTCGACAACGGATTAGAGAAAATTGTGTTAAGTCTTGTTGTATCAATATCGAATAATTGGAAGGGATTATGGTGTACATTTTTTAAATTAAACTCACTCAATTTTTTAAAGCTTTCTTAAATACTAAATGATAAATTAATATTTTAGTATTTGTATATTAATTTTAGTAATGGGTTTTTCTCATCGTATCTTACATGCGGGTGAAATATTTTTTTTTATCTTTCAATTACGCAACTATAAAATAATAATTTTATTTGTAATAGCTGTACAACCTCCTACCGCTTATTTAGGTCTTCTTTTTTTTCACAATTCCTATAAAGAGTATAGCTAGTATAGCTATTAACGTAGCATTTATACTTTTACTTTTTTTTAAATCTAGCTAGATAATTATTTGATGTAACATAAAACCATAAAACAATTCGAATTCGCTTATTCACATAGAAAATTCGCATGAGCAATTAAAATCATATAAAATTAAGATAAAACTGTAAGTACATGTAAAAATACAATTTAAGAACTTAAGAAATCAAGAGATTTAGAAACTAGGAGATTAAGGGTCGTATTCTAGCACTTTACTCAATGCTCAAGTCAGGATTGCACTGGAAACACAAGCATTGGAAATACGACCCTAATGGCAGGGACTTGAGTATGATTTGGAGCGCTTTAAACCATACTCAAATCCTGACTTAAGCATTGAGTAGAATTCTAGAATACGATCCTAAGAGGCGTAGAGCGCTAAGAGAAGAAAAGAAAGAAAAATTTTTGCTATCTCTTTTGGGATAAACAAGGATTTGGCAAGGAAGGAGTAACGAGACATTTGTCGTTATATGGATCCTCCCGATCCGATTGCTGTTCTTCATATAGGTGGTTATAACCTTTACATTCTTCGCTTTTGTTTTAAATATTTCTTCTGTGTTTCGTCCTTTGAAAAGGCACGACGAATTATTTCATCTTAATCAAGATGACAAAATCACTTACTTAGAAACGGACTGTCTGTTACAGTTTTAAGTTTTCAACGTTACCGATTCGTAGATATTTCGCCATCACAGATACTCGCCGACTGCGCCATTCATATCTTCTCCTCTTCGTATGGGAGATGGTGAGTGGAAGGTTGTAGGGTTGCCATTTAGCGATTACTTTTCTTACCCGTCTTCGGAGAAGGTTTAACAGAGTTTATTTGAATCAAATACTTGTTGAATTTAGACAAAATGGATTTAAAAAGTATATAAAGAACTCTACGACAACGGTTCAATAGGATGTGAACAGGAGTCGAGCAATGAATGGTATGGAGTCGCAGCTCCTGTCCTTATATGTATACTAAAGAATCGAACTATGGAATATTGGAGGTGGCGACTTTGTAATCGTCGTAAAAAATGCTATAAAATGTTACCTTAATGACTTGAGTTTGAGAGTAATGTGCATAATAACACGAACGTGATTTCCACAACATTCTATAGTTTTATGGTCCATATTAATTATTACGTCTTCATAGATTTTAGGGTACCGTCATTATTAACTAATGTAAATGCTTGGTGCACACGTTTCCAAGAAGGAGACACGGTATTTTCGAAATAAGTTAACAAAAGAAAAGCGAGAAGTACATCTAGGTATGAAAATGCGACATAGTTGATACTAATATAAATATGTATAGTCTCTATTCAACTACGAAATAGAGAGACATTAGCACCAATGAAAAATATAACAAATCCTCCAATGATTACAATTTCAAATAATTAAATTTCAAAAGAATTAAATTAAATTTAAATAATGAAATAAATAAATTCTCATCATAATTTACACTACAATAGAAACATGTATTCATAAAAAATTATGATATGCAATGAAATATGGAAAAAAATTAAATCGCTACAAATTATTATGGCCACTGAAATGAATAATACGAACCCCGTGTAGTCCTCGGGATATATAGGTCTTCTTCAATTAACCACAGAACGATGTCGTAAAAGATTAGTTTCTTACGCGTAACTACCCCACAACCTTGTAGTCACCGGATGTAAAAGAGGACTCACTCCTTTACAGATCCCCCACACTAGCGTCTTTCGAGCGTCAGCGTCTTGCCAGCGCACGCACTGCGTCGGCGCGACGCCAGCTGTGCGTGCGCTGGCATGACGCTGACGCTCCAAAGACGCTTGTGTGGGGGTGTCTTAGTGTTCATGGATGTCGTAGAGCGCGACTAAATGTGATCTGACTTTGAATAATATGGCAATATTCTAAGGGAATAAAACAATATTAAAAGGGGAAATAACTTAACTTTTATAAATAATTTTGCAATTACGTAATGGTATTAAACAATTTTTTTAAAGTTATATAACTAGATATTAAATAATATATAATCAACGTAATTAAGATTTCGAAATATATAATCAAGTTTTTTATTAAATTTAAGTTGTAAATGTTATCCTTCAAGTAATTAATCTATGGATAACACATTAATAATTCTACATAATTAATGCTAACGTTAATGCTATTTATAATAGTATAAGTTTATGCTCATATTTTTCAAATCCTTGAATGAAAATTGCAGCAACAGCAACTTATAACAAGAATAGTGAAACCAAACAATGAAACCAAATAATGAAATCGAACAGTACAAACAAAAATCCGTCATTAGTGAAAACAGTAATGAAACCATTTATAGACTCTAAACACCACCTGTACTTTAATTATAAGCATTACCATGTATTCTTTGTATAATCTATATTACATAAATGTACTTTAATAACGTTGTATCACCATCATATAACAAATCTTGGTGACCAATCGAAGTTTTCCGATGACCCTTGGTCTCTTTAGATTAACATGCATTATTATTACTTTTATTTTTAGTTTTTCCATCACAAAACTAACTAGCTAATTAGATGAATAATTCCTTTACTTAATTTTGCTCTGTCTTGGAGGGTAGGAGTTACATGACAATGGTACCATAAAATCTATGGAGTCGCGATATGGATCGTAAAATGAGAGAATGGCAAAATTTGAATATTAACCGGAATCTTACTAAAGAAGCGTGTGAATTTGTGACTTTGTGAAGGTGACTATCTAAAATAGCTGGTTTATTTTTATTCCTCGTATTGTTGTTATGTCTATCACTATTTTTCATGAAAAGAAAATACTATGTATTCCTCTTAATATAAATTACATTTTCATAAATGTATTGTGCTGCAAGTGTAAGAATGTTAATTTCTTTAAACTCGTGTCTCAAAGATATTCTGGGGCCCAAATTATAACGCGCACACACTAAACCTGAAACCGGACACCCTGTATCGCGGGTGCCATGGAGACACACATAGACAACCACAAATTACACCCAAACTTACGAGAGAAATAAATGTAGCCCATACAAATATTTCTCTCGGCCCGGGAATCGTACCCGGGTCCTCTGCGTGGCAGTCCAGTATGGTAACCGTTCGGCCTAAGAGGCAGTTTGTAAATTGTAAATTTTCTAACCGCACGTTTTTGTATTTTGAAAGAAAACTCCTAATACGTGATCTTTTAACTCATCTTTATGCAAGCACAACTGTACTCCTCTTGGAAACTAACTTTTATTTTTATTTATTTATTCAAAATACACAGAATATTTAATCTATACTTACATTTGGAAACGGGAATAAACGCGTTTACATACGAATAGGTATTTTTCACACCTACCTAGTTTCCCGACGTTTCGGCCAGCGCAGACCAGAGGTGTGAAAAATATCTATTCGTATGTAAACGCGTTTATTCCCGTTTCCAAATGTAACTAAAATGCAACACGAAAGTTTAAAAGTATATATAATCTAAACTAATAAGACTCCATTTAATACTTGTTTGCATTTCCTAACATTCATTAACATATCTACATGGAGCTGCACAGGTTTAATTAAATTTAATTTTTAATTTAATTTAATTAATTAAAATGCACAGAATATTTAATTTAGAATGTCAGGCAATATCTACTGTAACTGTAGGCCTGATAATGAAATTATCATATTTACAACTGATTACAGCTTCTCCAATCAACCCTGGGTTCGTGGGACGGACGTGTGTATGAACGTCTGATGGAGGAGGCTCTGAAGAGCCCGCTCAACACGCAGCCAGTCCACGACTCCTTCCACAAATACCTTAAGCCTCTTATGCAGGGCAAGCTGTAAATAATCCCGATGGTAGTTGCAATTAGTACATTGTTGCCGCTTGGTATTATATTGAAAAAAAAATGTTTTTGGCTAGTGTGATTATTGGGAAATTAAAAAATAATTAAATGACATAAGTGTTTTTTATTCATGTAATGTTATTTTTCGATTATATCACCTTTATTATAATAGTTGGTTGTTACGCAAGGCTGCAAAGTTGTTTCAAATGAGTGCTTGTATTGAAACCTTGGCACGCGAGGTAGCGTAAGATATCACTTCGCTCGTGGTTCAAACAGAATCCTGAGCGTAGCGAGCTGAGCGAACCTTGCTGCTCAGTGAAATACACAACTTTTCACCTCAATATAGCGAGGAAAATGGTAGATGAAAGAAAAACAGTTGAACCACGTATAACAAATCAGTTTTAATAAACAAAATTAGTTATCGTTGTCAATTTAATGTCAACAATAATAATAATAAAATATAGCACCTCCTTATATCATAACTAACATAATTATGTTAACAGCGAAATTGAGTTATTGACATATCTGGAATCAGCGAAACCAGATCTACAACCCTCCTATAAGCGGTTATTTAGTTTCAGTTTAATTTTTAATCAAAATCAGAGTAATTGACATTTTTCAAAGAAAAAAAAAACTTTTGGTGATAATATCTCGGTAGCTGTAAGATATCTAACTGGATGATAAAACTGTCATAGATTTCTCATAGATGGCGCTACGACTAAAAAGTTGTTGAAAAACCAAATACGACACGACAACAATCACAGAAAAACTCGTGAGGTCCGCTGGTTCGTTCCGTGGCTTAGTTGGTATATCGTCTGGCACGGTATGCTAGAAGACGTCCGGTTCGAATTCCGCCGCATCGAAGGATTTTTTTCTGAGTGTTCGATCTTTGTGTTAATAATTATAACAAACTAGTAGAGTAATTTCACAAAAAATAATTGAATGTCAATTCAATAAAAATTTAAAATATCTCGAAAGTTATGTAAATGCGTAAGTTACAACAAGGAGGACAGTAATACCGGTCGAAACTTTCCACTTCTACTATAAATACAGCAAAATCATAGTACCTATAACAAGACCAGTAGCGTATCTCCATACAAACGTAGGCGCAGCTCGTATTTGTACACGCCCGGCGCATCGTGTACAGATGCACACATTCGCATAATCTCGCTTCGCACTCATGTTGCACAGTGACGACCCCGTCACACATGCCATTCATTATAGAATTGAAACATCTTTATCCCAATATTTGAAAATTGCCCAGCGGTTTAACGATGTGCCGCGACACTCGCTGCCCCATCAGTACCCATCGGGCGCTTGTCTCCGTCGGATCTGTGTCAAATCTTCTCTGCCTGTTCATACCCTATTCATATTAATTTAAAGCGCGCGTATTGCGGGACGCGATAGGCGACCCTCACACACGCCACCTCCTAAAATCTAAGCTCGCAAGCATTTACATTGCTAATACCGGACTAAACTTCCCACTTCCGCTACAAATACAGCAAAATTGTAGTATAACAAGAAAATAAGTATAACTCCGTACAAACGCAGCATTCGCATCGAAGGGTTGTCACATTGTTGTATTAATTGTAAATATATTTTGTGAAAATTATGGTCTTCATCACAGTATTCCCAAGCTATACTGAAATTTTTCTTAAAAGCAACACTGACGTATTAATATTTCTAACTTACTAACTCGATTGTGGGACTCTGATTATGAAATATAAATTAAATATTATTAGCAATTCTGAATTTTAGGTACTCTTATTGAAATAATCATAGACACAAAAATAAATACGTGCATATTTTCATGTCATTTTTAAACATCGAACGGACGTTGAAAACCAAAACTTAGTAAGTTCACTGTAGTACTTAAAGATAAATATCTCCATATAAAAATTATGTGCGAAGTTAGATATTTTATTCTTAAATAATTTGTTTTAAAATTTTTATTTTAGCCTGTTCTCAGGATTTTATATGATCGGATAAAGTACATCTCCTACCGTGTAACAAATTAGCACATTACTTAGACAATATCCTCAGGTGGTAAATATAACTTGGCAACATAAGGTATTAATGTACGAATAATTAACACAGGACATAACATAATTTACATAGCATAAAATGCGACGTATAGGCAGGAGTTGCACAGCTGGTCTTGTTATATATGTATACTGTGGCACAATATAGATAGAGGTGGCGATGGCGTAATAATCCGGTTACGTTTATCAACGAACCTTTACAAGCAAACGAGTCGTAAAGTCAACAAAGTGTTATCTTTTGATTGTTATTGTACTCTATTTTGGCATCGTAATCGCAATTTCATATCTAAACAATATGAGCCAAATTATCTTAAAAGATATGTTCTGAAATAATAAATTGTGAATTACAATAGCACTTTAGCGTTTATTGGTAACAGTGCTTGTGCAGCAACTATAATAATGATGGTTAAAATAAACGAAGATTTGCAAAGAGAGAGAAACAAGTGTAATTTTAATGTTGAAGAATTAACTAATTTTATAGATGGAGGGGTTCATGAGACTGAAAAGAGACGAAAGATTGGTAAGTGTGAATTGAAATTGCTAATAGTGTTGAATTTAATGAGGAAAGTTGTGTTTTGCATTTGTTTACGTTTTGTTGAAGGAGCAAAGTCCATTCATATTTATTTTAACCTAGCAATTAACACTGGCTGATTTACGGTTTCGTAAATTACAATTATTATTGCTTATAACTGAAACAATTCTAAGTATATAATAACCGTAATAACCTAATACGTATTAAAGAGTAACACTAAAATAATACAGAACGCCTTATAGAATATGAATTGTGAAACGGAATTGCAGCTAAAAGTCTCATCAATTTTCATTAGGAGTTTTTGTGCGAACGTCGCCCGACTAATTTGTGCTGATACATTTTATATATTATGTTTCAGGCATTTTCTAACAATAAGGCCAAATTTTAAGGAATCTTTAAGATTCTCTGAACGAAATTGGTCGATGACTGTTTTATGCATAAAAAGAAGAATTTTCAAGTTATTATTGAATGTCAAAAAAATTTAGTATCACGTTTTACTACCATGATATTTAATTTTTTGTGTGATATTGCTCCAGTAGTTTGTTATAATTATTAATAACAAAGATCGAACACTTAGGGCGCATTCCCACTATGTCATGACGTTTTATTTATCGTTAGACGACGGTCGCACTAGCCTGTTCCCATGTCACGACTATCTGTCGTGACTATGTCGTGGACGATTATTTTATCGTTGAACGACTGTCGTGTGTAGCTGTTCCCACTAGATCGTGAAGATAATTTATCGTTTCACGGCAGCCGGCTTGTTGTTTGCACGACAGAGTCGTTTGAAGCACTGCTGTTGCTTCTATGTTCTTTTGGAAGGCAGTAGTATGTTTTCGCTCCCATGTGAAGTGAAAGAAAAAGAAGACGAAATTATAATAATGTATTACTTTTTAAAAAGGCGAAAGAGAAAGCAAACGAAGAAAAGAAAGTTTTGGGTATATTCAATGTTATTAAAAAGAATTCCATTTCAATTCCACATTTCAGTTCATCAATAAACCTTTGACATAATAAAGGTTTATTGATGAACCTGAATGTGTTGAGAGAAAATTTAGGAATTATTAAGAATTTAATATTTTGTTATTATATGTATAATTAAATTTGAACAAAACTCATTTCACAAGAAATATTTAGTCATAAATAGTTTTTATCTTCGATTTCGGGCATTAATGGGTTTTAACCGTATTTAAACCCGGCGTTAACAAAGCGCTGGGTTAAAACGTGGGCCCATCTATGGCTACAACCCAACGCTCTAGCGTAATTCCAGCCGAAGGCGTGGACTGCGAGAGGGGAGAGTGGGGAGCAGGACAAGTGCAGACAACGATAAATAAATCATGACGACAATAGCAGCTGCGACTATGTGTCGTCACGTTTTTATCGTGACGTTTTATTTATCGTCAGACGACTGTCGTTCTAACTGTTTCCATTATCACGACAGTCTGTCGTCGTAACGATAAAAAAATGATGAACGACAGTTAATCGTGTCGTTCTATATGTGAACAACTTCAACGAAATATACAAGCTACGACACTGTAAACTGCAAGACATCTGTCGTCACGATATAGTGGGAACGCGTCCTTAGAATAAAATTCTAAAAAAATGAATAAAAAATAAAAATAAATAAATAACTATATAAAAGTATACAACACAATTGAAGATAAACCTTTTATTGCAGAACAAAAAATTCTGAATACTGAAGGTATTTTAGATACAATTCCTGAAGAATATCTAAGTCATAAAGAGAAGTATGAGAATGCTGTTCGTAAAAATGTTCTCTTCTTGAAAGCGATGAAGGAATTGGAAGACCCTAATGTTTCGCAATTGGAAAACGCTAAGTATGAAATGAAATCAGAAAATTTTTGAATTTAGCACATTATATAGATTACTTGTATGCATTGAAAAAGCTACAGAGTTAGTTTCTTTTTAATAACACATTTTGACGGGATGAATAAGTAGTGCGTCTGGTGGTAGCTTACCCATATAAGAGTCAACTCACACTGAAATAGAAAAGGCGCGCAGCTGCCGAAGGACCTAGCACGGCGTTTCACTACAAGTGTCGCTACCGCATCGAATCAATTTGGACTTTTTTGTTTAGAAGATAAGATTCAAAATGCTAAGTAATACCTTGCATCAAAAATGCTCATCCGGCCGCTGCTCTTTCAGTGTGACTTGACCCTAAGAGTTGAAGTGCTACTCGAAACTTTTAATCTTGAAGACCTGCGAGGTGCTTTGTCAGTGCACCCGTTACTCTAAGACATATGTCGTCAGTTGTGCCTGTAGCTGAACCTTTACTTTCAAAACTGGAACGCAGTATACTCACATTACGGCTCGATGGTAGAAATAGGTATGGTGGCAGCACTTCCCTAGACGAGCGCTACTGCTACTAAATGTGATGTGCAATGTGATTGAATTATACAAAATGTTGTTTAAGGTGCTCATGTAACTTATTTCCTTGTAACAGTTCTGAGCATATTAAGCACAATAACTGCAGCAACCTTTTCAAGTAAAAGAAGTACTCTATTGCTGCCAAATTCTTAATTCTGGGTAATATTGGTAGTACAATATGTTTTCATGGTTTCGTTATTCCATTTTGATCTTTTTATTAATGTTATATAACTTTACAGAGCCTTGTTCCGAAGCACAGTTGGTGCGGCTGTGTTCAAAGATGGCTCGCCCCTGTCGTTGCATTACAGTATGTTTATTCCAACACTCAATGGTCAGGCGAACGAGGAACAAAAGAAGTATTGGTTGAAGAAAGCTGTTAATTGGGAAATTATTGGTACTTATGCTCAGGTAAGTAATTTACTACAAGTCATTATGTAGACTGTCTGTAGTGGGACGCAGAAATGTGATACGCCAACCGCCAACAAATCGCGACTCGCGAGTCGCGTGCGGCTTAATGGTCTCTTGAGTGTGGCTCTTCCACAAAATACCGATGCCGATGAAGTATACAAGAGCAGTGTGGATGGGAGAGTTGTAATGGGTCAACCTCAGCGAACGTACCTCACTCAGAGTGAGGACGTTTTTTAGCAAAAACCAGCTTAGAAGTACCCTAATTAAGTTCACAGCAATGTATGCAGACAGGGCACTGACGACCGTTGGGGCAGAAAGTTTCTCGAATGGAGACCACGAACAGGAAGACGTTCAGTGGGACGGCCAGCTACGAGATGGACGTATGACCTGGTAAGGGCGGCGGGTAACTGATGGATGCACGTCGCGTCCGATCGGCTGGTCTGGAAATCTTTGGGGGAGGCCTATGTTCATCAATGGACGTCTACCGGCTGATATGAAGATGGTGATGAATGTACTTAGCTATAAAGTTTAGGTTTAAAAAAAATTAAAAATTCGTATTTGCTAATACCTGTCGAAGAACCGATAACCAATGAGGGAAACGAGTTTTTGTGTGGAGACCACGGCTCGGCAAACATAGAGTAGGCCGCCCTCTTTGGCGAATTGGGGCTTTGGGAGAGGTCAGATGATGGTTCCTAACACAACAGCAGAATTAAACTGTTCTTAATTCTTTGCAGACTGAGCTTGGTCATGGGACTTTTCTTCGAGGTTTGGAAACCACGGCTACTTACGACCCGAATACTGAAGAATTTATTTTACACAGCCCAACTTTGACTTCTCACAAATGGTGGCCTGGTGGTTGTACGTATTTTCAGCCTTATTGTCTCAGTTATATGGCAACAAATAGCTTAAAAATTATATTAAATCTTCCCTTTTCCCAGTGGCTCATACTGCAAACTACTGTGTGGTCATGGCTCAGCTGTATACAAAAGGCAAACACTGTGGTATGCAGCCATTCATCGTCCAAATTCGTGACGATGAAACTCATATGCCACTACCGGGGATCAAAGTGGGAGAAATTGGTGCCAAGCTTGGATTCAACACTGTTAATAACGGATTTTTAGGATTTAATAACCATAGAATTCCTAGAAATCAGATGCTGATGAGATTTGCTCAGGTTTTGAAGGTAATTTTACTTCAATCCTTTTTTGTATGATATTTACTAAATGATCGTGGTTGTGTGAAATTTGCATAATCTTTCAGGATGGGACCTTCAAAATGTCACCGAACAGTAAGTTAACTTACGGGACCATGGTTTTCGTAAGGGTTCTGATTGTCAATTCAATGGCAAGCCTGCTCGCTAAAGCAGCCACTGTGGCTATCCGATACTCTGCTGTTAGAAGGCAGTCTCAGCCCAAACCCGGGTAAGTAGTCAAAAGATAATTTATAAGAATATTTCCTGAAACATCAAGTAGCACGTTTTCTCTGTTTTCATTTATAATGTTACTTGATATATATCTTGTCTGTATTTATTACTATTACCATGAACCAATAAGTAACTCTAGAGGAGTGCTATTATCAATTAATTTCTCTATAATATGAATTATAAGAAGTCAGTCTTCCTTGTAATTATTAAATTGGTAGTAGTTAATTTAAGTTATTGGTCCATATATAGGATATGAACTAACATCAGTATTTAATAGTACTGGTGTTAGTTCATATTCTTATTGTTTTACGTCATTAACATTTTACTTCGTCTCTCGCCTAAATGTTTTCTCTGTACATAGATCGGTCTCGGAGTCTCGGGTCTGGGTGTTTGTGGTACCGTCACCGTTGTTTCCGATTTCCATAACATAAGTGCTTTAGTTACTTACTTTGGGATCAGAGCTACTTATGTGATGTTGTCTAATATTACATTTATTTATTTATATGTGACCAACTGATAAAAATTTATGAATGTAATTTTAATCATCGATGGGCCAGTGCCGTCGGGCGTTCTCGATTTAAACAATTTATTTCTACATTACCGTCTAAATTTCTATATAAGAAGTAATTTTTTTCCTTGTAATGCGCGTAAAGAGATGGAACAATTGTAACCTAAAAGTTCGATGAGTGGAACTAGTGGGAATAAATTAAATGTTTCCTGATATTATAAAACAAAATAAAAGAATAGCCGGCACTATCCATAAAAATCTATACAATAAGCGCTATCTAGTTGATTTGATTGTTCTGACTAGAAATTAGTTATGATAAATTGCAGATTGTCAATGTAAAACAAAATTATAAAAACATTTACAAAAACAGCTATTTGGTACTTGTCGCGACATCTGGCGTACCATTAGCTATTAAAGACCCGACCACGCTATCTTGTATCATTATTAGCAGTCCTCACGTGAAATGTTTCGATCCCAAGAACTAACGTCGTAGGGCTAGTGGGGAGGAGCGGTATGGTTGAGCTTTTATACACGACATATACAGTGCACACTCAAACACACGCACATATACTTGTTCCCCGAACGCTATAACTTGGACGTTTTCAAAGCGAGAGTGAATAGACATTATTTAGGTGTGCATGCTACATTCTCGATCTTATCGTCACTTCCCATCAGGTGAGATGGAGGTGAAATGTGCACTAATTTTAATATAAAAAAACAAACAAACAAAAGACAAACGCACAACACAAGCCCACACACACATATATACACTTACACAACCTATGATTACAAGTACAACAGTCTACTAACAATTAATTTTAATTTTACTTTTAATTTTATTTTGTTCTTACTTTTGCAAATACATAGGGCGCACTCATTGACTTACAAATAAGTGGACGACGGGTCTAATACAAAAACCACGAAAAAAATGTCCCAAGTCAACCTATTCGAAATTTAAATTGTTATGTCATCGCAGTATCGCGCTGTCCGTAGAACAAATGAAGACTAAGGCGGAGTGTCGCGCTCTGTATACGATTTTAGCGCCTTACAAGTGCGGACACTTTTTAGCGCGGACCCGACGTCCATATAATTGTAAGTCAATGGGCGCACTATAAGTTTCCGGAACTGGCCACTTACATAAACAATATTTAAAAAGTAATTACAACATTTGAAAATGGAACTCTTTGGCTGTAGAATATAGTAGTGGCGTCATTTTAGAAATTGGCTATAAGGCTATCTACATGACCATGGATTTAACTCGTGAAAATTTTCATAGTATGTTTTTCTAGGACCTTAAGTGTAATTTAACAGCTCAGCGGAGCTTTGCTCGTTTCAAACTGCTTTGGGCGATGAAGCACCATGAAAGACGACTATTTATAGCTGATTTGCATAATTCAAAGGCGTTTTCGTGTGAATCTCAGTGACTAATTTCGTTTTGGTCGCCCGTCCACTGCTGTGAACAATAAAGACATCGATGCTGTGCGCCGTATGATCAAAACAGACAGGCATGTGACATACTATGAGATTCGGGCATCTTTAAGCATAGGCATGAGACAAATATAATCAATACTACACAAACATTTGGGTGTGAAACAGCTGTGCTCTCAGTGGGTCGCACACAACTTGACTGAGGTTCAAAAAACGGATCGCGTCACTTGGCGCAATGCCATGTTTACCAGATTCAACGAAGGGGCGTCAAATTTGGTGTGGGACATAGTAACAGGTGACGAAACATGGATTTATAGTTACGATTCCAAAACAAAGCAGCAATCGAGCGCATGGGTCTTTCAAGATGAGCCGAAACGAACCAAAGTGGCGCGCGTGCAAAGTGCCTTTAAGCGGATGATTGCTTCTTAATTAATAAAACTGGACACGTGGTTACTGTTGCTTTGGAGGATCGTTATACCGTGAATAGTGATTGGTACACGACCATTGCCGGAAGTTATTGACAAACTGCGTATAAATAACTATAAACGCCGTATCATCTTGCACCACGATAAGTGAAGTGAAGTTCTCACACGGCTAGACGGACAAATGGATTTTTGAAGGTGAACAACGTTGACCTTATTAGCCTTCCCGCGTAAAGTCTCGACCTGGCACCTTGTGACTTTTATTTATTTCCAAGAATTAATAACCATTTACGCGGTCAACGTTTTTCATCACCTGAAGAGGCTGTCGAAGAGTATGAAACATATGTTTCAAAGATTATCACAGAGGAGTGGCACAAATGTTATCAAAATTGGTTCATTCGTATCAAAAAGTACATTAACGCTAAGGGAGAATATTTTGAGACACATTAAATTCGTTTCTGACCATTTATAGTATTTTTTTCTTATACATTCCGGAAACTTATAGTGCGCCTCACGTATAGTTTGTTATCTTAAACGTATATGTGTTTTATCTTATTAAATAGCACCCATCAGAGTTTCTACTCCAATACAATACTTCGGTATCGTATTGTATCCGGAGGCTGGAGATTTGTCACAAAGGATAACACCTAGTATGAACTCCAGTCTCTTGCCAAGGTTTTTCTTTTCTTAGTAAAAAATCATGTTAACTATTTATAAGTTTATTTATGTAAGGACCTTGATAAGAGACAATATGGATTATTATTATCTTATTCTTATTGTTTTACGCCATTAACTTTTACTTCGACTCTCGAAATGTTTCCTCTGTACGTAGATCGGTCTCGGAGTCTCGTGTCTGGGTGTTTGTGGTACCGTCGCCGTTGTTTCCAATTTCCATAATACAA